AGAAGACAAAAACAGAATGCACAATTTATTGCCTGGCATATTTCGTTGTATCTTGTCAGGTGCATACTACAGAAACAATTAAGCAAATAAATTAATTCTTCGAACTGGAACACAAAATCGACTATATTTATAAATTGTCTGTTTCACCATGGTAACCGCAAGGTAAAGAGAATATCCTTTTGCCTGCATAATTCTGAACTAAACCTGCTGATAGCTAATACTTGCGCGAATTTCGGTGATCTATGGTTGGTCAAACTGTAAATAATTCGAAATGCATGTCCTGGTTTACATTGTGCCCGAAATTTAGAATATGACACGCAATTGCTGATGATGGATTTTTTCGACCAGTTATCTGATTCTTTGTTGTAAAGTCGTTAGTATTCTGCACTGCTTTTACCACCCACAGTGGAATATATTCGGTAACCGGTTTCTCCAGTCGTCGATCAGTTCTGCCCACATATGCAGCGTTACAGGTGCATTTAATTGGTGAATACAATTAGATTTGGCGTTCGTTGACACTGGTTCTTTTACTGATGGCGTAGGAATTACAATGCTTTTAAATCTAAATCAGGCACAGCTGCGTAAAATGTTTGACTGATTGCTGATTGACTGATTGAGCCGGTCATACAAACGTTGCATAACATCATTTCACTGAAACGGTAGATGTTATTTTTGGTCTTGACAGAAAAATGTCCACGTCCTTACTGAGGATTCGAACCTGGCTTTCTCGAATGAGAAAAGCCTAGAGTTTTTTACCGCACGACCGACGGCTCCTCATACATCAAATACCAGTCATTATTCTCTCACCGAACAATTGATTGACATCTTCATGTTAGAGTGACACATCTCTTCCGAAAAAAAAAATCTATATCTACCCACTTAATTCATTCACCGTGAAACGTGCGCCCGTCTGTCCATCTATGTAACAATCTTTATATTGGGCGGGAAATCGATTGTTTTGTAAGGTCATCAACAACAATATTTCTGAAATCGAGGCAAGCCTGTGTGTGTAAAAAATCTCAGGAAATTCTGCTAGTGAAATTCCTGCGTCATCGTCATCAGCAGGTGCCTTGTCGACTGGCGTGAACGATCATGCCTCTCCACAATCTGCGATCTCCTGCAGCATGTATTAGTTCGTGTGCCGATACACCTTCATGCCATGCAACAAGACTGTCAAGCCTCTTCTCTCGTTGTTTTCCTTTACCCCTCCTTCCACAGATCTTTCCAGTGGTCACATGTTCTCATGGCCAAAAAATGATGACTGTCTCCTTTAGATGTCTGTGATTAGTTGTCAGTGGGTAAAATCTTTTAAAATATGGCGTGACTATAATACTTTTTTAATTGGAAAGTACACTGTAAAATAATTATAAACATAAAAAAGATGTCAGTGGCACTGGCTATTTTACTTAATTGCATATGCAACCGAAGATAGAATAACATACTGGAATTGTGGGTAGTCCAGAAATGCCACCAAGACACAAGTAGAACAGCATTTTAAATTTCGAGGGAAGCCAGCTCATAGGTTGGGTTAGGGGGGAGGGGTTGGGGGGTGGGGTTCAAAACAACGCATCCTCGATATTAGGAAAAGAAAAAGTGATCGACAAGTTTATAATGAAAACTCGGTAGTTCTACTCTGTCTTCACTCAAAAAAACGAACTCTGAGTTTTACTGCCATTTTTTCTTCGTATTAAGGAGGTTGAGACAAAGGCAAAGAAGACCCAGCTTTTAATTAGTAGTTAGTTTCTACTGTGTGTTTATTTATTTAAAATTGTACCATCTTCACAATCGAGATTGGCAGCAGAGCACCCATCGCTACTTGTGTGATTGTTAACTGGTAAAGCCTCCTAGCTTACCACTGTGCGACTCTCACACTACCGTCTGAAAGATCCCTATAATGGTCTATTTCTAGAACGCGCCGGAAATTAAACCCCGATTCACAGAGGATTGTGAAACGACTTCACTATAAACAGAACATAAGAACAAAACCTCACATGCCAAATTGTTAAATATCAATATCTACATCTCTTGCTAAAGAGAGAAACACCCATTATCTTCCAGTTGAGACCGATCTCTGATCTGAAGAACATAAGATTGTTTCTACGCAAATATTAGTCGTGGCGCAATTAATGAATCTTCATGAAATCTCGAGGAAAAGAATAATTACAGGTATCCATCGTTGTTTCAAAGTGGTGTGTGTATCTAAGAACCCTTTCACAAATTGCAAACCCGGGTGATTTCGTGGATCACAGATTACTAGATGTCGTGACAGACCTTTCCTGTTCCCCAGGAGATGTTATTAGTGCTAAAGCAGTCCTCCGATGACATGTCACTTTCTTCTTTCTTCCATGAACCTATGTATTGACGACTCAGGTGATCATTTCCCCAAGTGGGCATAGTGATAAAACTGTTACCTACAAGTAAATCCCTACACACACACACACACACACACACACACACACAAATAGCACAAAGAACTATATCTGTACACAAACTTGGACTAAAGAAATGTTTTCCAGTAACATCAACGACATGGAGTCATGGTATATTGATCATACATACTGTTCCTTTTTTTAAAGAATACGCTGCAAAGAAAATAAAAAACATATGCATATGTTAAGGATATAGACACTGGTACAAATACACCATATATATGTATTATCACTCACAAAATCTTTTCTGCATTTCGTGTGTTTATTGTAAATGAAGTATTAACTCCTCCCAAACCGTGACTAACACACGGGCTAAATACATTTGCCATTACGACTACAATATTTAATTTAACAGTCACATTGACGGCCCAGATTATTGTCCATTTCTGTATTAAATGCGACAATCAGTATATGTTCATTTTCGTTGGAATGATATCCGTTTGAATAATTTTTCCTCTATTACTGCACTTGATAAGGTATATTTTTTTAATTATGTTTCGCTGTTACCTCCTTTGAAAGCACATATCTATGTGTGTCTGCCTCCCAAAATGTTAAATACTGAACAGATAAAGTAGAAGACAGGATATTAACTATAGGGTTTTCGTTAGATCTCTATTTCCACTAGGCCTACATATAGGGCAGAGGTGGCCACCAAAATAAAATAGAGGAAAGGAGAATAAGACTTTTTTTCACATAAACTCATTTGCTTTATGAGGTTAAATGACCAGTTTCTTACCTGGTGGGCTTCCGTACCAAGTTTTCTAACATAACAATCGATGACTTCTGATTTCAGGTGTGACCTTCACTACAATGTAAGACTATGGCAGATCACATGACCAGCTGGTATTTGATTGTTCCCGCTGTTCTATGTTTTACTGTTTGTGGTAGGTAAATCCATTTACATCATTTCAAATGTCATATGTGTCTATGCGTGAAAACAACGAATATAACTAAGTAAAAAGGTTTTTTTTTTTTTGGGGGGGGGGGTAGGGGGGGGAGGGAAGAAGATATGTACGTAGTGTTGGCATCTAGGGGTAGAGGGGGAAGGGGGAGGGGATGGGTACGTAGTGTCGGAACCAAGGAGTAGAGGGGCGGGAGGGGATGGGTATACAGTGTTGGCACCAAGGGGTAGAGGGGGTGGGGTGGGGTGGGGGGGTTCTTTCTTTTTTTTTTTTTCCTACAGCAATTGACTCTTTAGGTGAGTACTGGCACCTTCTTTTAAAGACATGTTGGGTGAATACATGCATCACTCTTTAAACATTTGCGGTGAGTATCTCCACCTTTTTTTCTGCCGGGGAAGAAAAAACAAAAATATAATATTTTTCAACAGATACTGTGGATGGGATATAGGAATGTGTAGAAGGACGTGTAGACATAGAGGTTCTGCAAATGATAGAGGACAAAGTTGTGGTTTACAGGCAGGGATTATTCACAATGATGGGTCAGTGGCCAGGAGTAGAAAGAAAGGATGTTGCTTTGTTGCAAGAGCATGGGGAACAAGGTTGATTTGCCTTACTTTATATTACCACGTCTAGCATGAGAATGGGGGTTAGGGTGGTAACTCTGGCGTTCCGATGGGTGGAGAAAATCGCAGCCATACATGTTGTCATTTACAAGCTATGCTCAGGAAGGTGTTGTCTTTATATGGAAAGTGTTGCATCTATGCGGTGGTCGTATCAGAACATGCCCTGTAAAGTAACGGTGGCCGTCATATGTTGTCAATCACTCTAGCAGACTTTTTGATGATAAAATTAAAGGTCTAGCAATCACTCTAGCACGCTTTTTGATGATAAAATTATAGGTCTAGCAATCACTCTAGCACGCTTTTTGATGATAAAATCATAGGTCTAGCAATCACTCTAGCACGCTTTTTGATGATAAAATTATAGGTCTAGCAGTCACTCTAGCACGCTTTTTGATGATAAAATTATAGGTCTAGCAATCACTCTGGCACGCTTTTTGATGATAAAATTATAGGTCTAGCAATCACTCTAGCACGCTTTTTGATGATAAAATTATAGGTCTAGCAATCACTCTAGCACGCTTTTTGATGATAAAATTATAGGTCTAACACCATGTGTCTGATGCTCCAATGTTATGACAAAGATCTTTTACTTTAATGTTGAAACATGTTAGCCTCTTGGAGCCGCACAAAATATCTCCAAATATATCGTATTCCACTTATAGGAAACAACTCAGACTGTGCAAGACAACATTACATTAGCTATCTTGTGTTTATTCAGTTCTTATAGTTCTATAAATCATGTATGGTAACTCCTCGTGTGGGTTCCGGGGGCCCTATTATAGGGAAAACAAGAAAAGACCCACTGCCTACCCAAAAGCATATTGTAAGAGTCGACTAATTAGGAGCTTCCTTCGAAGTCAGAGTGCATCTGCCTGAGAGGCAAGGAACCAACAGTCTGCATACAAATTAGTCAGATCTGTCAAACGGATGCACACGCAACAATCAGGTTCTGGAATTAGGAGGACTGCAGTCCAGAAGTGGACGAACAACCAGAACTTTCAGCCGGAGTTTACAGCCGGTGAACGCAAAGAAGAAGAAGAAGATGTATGGGAACCTGTTTGGGACAATACTTTTCACGACTCAAAATCTCAAACTCGCTCACAGATCCTAAGGTCATGTGTTTAAATCTGAAAAAAATTTTCATTCATGACCATGGCTCCCAGGTTTACCAAGCCTCAAAGGTTTAGTCCTGGAAAGTGAAGGCGTCCAGCGAGTTGTTGACCACATCACTCTTCAAAGTCTCAAAATGTGAGTCTAGTCTCAAATGTCTAATGCTCACTAGCGTGTAAAAGGACCTTTACTTTTACCCAAGGCGCACGAATACCTGACCCAATCTTTCTTCTGTCAGTCCCAATATCCAGTAAAGATATAAAGTATTGTCAGGCTTCCTACATTTGGTCAAGCAAACAAATTATCTGTAGATAGTGGGAAATCATTCTTCTACCATACATCTGCAGCTCACATATAATTTTTTATTAAGCTGCCAACTTTCACAGATTTAATTTTGATACATCAAGAACGTTTTTCTCACCTCAGTTGATAAAGATATATTGCACACAATGTTCTTCGTCTGGTAGAATGCTGTTTTTGCTTAGACTTTTCTACATTTAACTTCTTTAATAACTCTTTTGCTCTGGTAATAGATAACTAACATTAACAAAGTACAGTATTATCACAGCTGATAACACACACTGTGTTTATCTTCAGCTGAAGCAATTGGGTGTTTCAAGTGTACTTCTGTCAACCACCAAAATCCCGAGTGTGAAGACACCTTTAACAACACAGGCAAGTTCTACGAAGAGGATTGCTGGGCGTACAGAAAGGGGAGGACTGGTGCCTTTCCTGGCACACAATGCATGAAGATGATTGCCATAGATGGTATGTGGGCTTGTTCAATAGTAGCAGCCATTATGTTACCAATCAGTTAGTTCAATATTTATTATTACCACCATTAATATTTATCATGTGAAAAGACCTTTCATCAAGGCTACTCCCACTATGAGTTGCATTCCAGATTACATGGTATGCTCGCAATGCCCAAGCCCAATATGCCGATAAAAAGTGTGTTTTTATTCCAGGTATTGAATTCCGGTCTTCTGGGTGCAGGTCTGAATTCTAACCACTAGACTATCAAAATTACAAACCTGAACATGGTAATCTTGTTTATGGTCATGTTGTGACAATAAAGAAACTATAGAACATGTTCTGATCAAGGATTTGTAGAAGGATAGAGGAAGACAATGCTAGAAAATTATGAACAGCTTTTTGTCAGGGCAAAGAAGGTGACTGCAGTGAGCTGAAGAATTTTGCTGGAGCTCACAGTTGTGGAGAGGCATGTTTGTCCACACAGTCAAGGCACTTGATGACGATGATGATGATGATGATGATGAGCATTATGACAATGATATAGTCTATTCCTTCATTCTCTGAGTAGTGCATCAGGTATCCAGTGTTTTTGGATAAGTTTGAAAGACTAGACCAAAGCAAATTCCATGTTAACATTTCCTCAGCAGTTGAAATTCTTAGTAGGCTCCTCTCTAGACTAAATAAGATAACTATTCACACCCCCAAAAAAAAAAAAAATTTTAGTGTTTGTAACACTAGTAATCATAATTTGTTCAAATCATCACTTACTACTGGTTATGTACAATAGCTAACTGATCCCAGTAGTTGGCACATATAGAGCCACTGACAGATGACAGAGAGACAAAAACTATACAAAACAGAATTTAATGTGAGTAGACATGAGGCAGACCAAGAAGACGATGGAGAAATAATGTACAGGCAGTACCTAAAAATACATGGGGTAACCAAGTGGAAAGAGAAGACCAATCACAGACGAATGGAGGCAAGTGATATTTGCAGCTAAGATTCTCAATGGCTCAGAATGCTGAAGAAGGAGAAGAAGAATTATAATAGCATACGCCCATTTGGAGCTTAGGCAGTACTACAGTGTACATACTGTACAGAGATTCTCCTTCTGTGTTCTAAGAGACTGCAATGCATAGAGATATCCAATACAGTGAAGCTGCTTTATTACAAATGAGCAAATTGAGGAACTTCACTGGCTTCAAAATGTTTATTTGATTTGCATACATGAGGTAAAATCAGAATCAGAGTCCATGTTATATCTTTTGTGTTAGCATTGAAAATATTGTTTATGTGATATTCATAAAACAATGATTCCTCCCCAGAGTCCATTAACTACACAGTTGTGGTGCGAAATTGTGTTGTTGATGATGGCGGCACCAACTCCGAGACCGAGATAGGTCGACAAAGTCACTGTGGATGGATGAAAGTTATCAAGTATAATGGAAGACGAATGAAGGGATGTATACTAAGTTGTGACACAGATGCATGCAATGACAGCAACAGAACAAGCAAATGCCTCATTTTAATCATTATATCAGTAATATATGCCTCCACTTTCCAAAGCCATTTTTTCAGACTGTTTACACCAGTGATTCTAAAGTAGCTTAAACTAGGCTGTAGAAATTTAAATCATGACTTAGGTGTGATGGTAATGCATAACTCATATAATTAAGTGTGAGTCTACAGTATCTCAATTAATCAGTCAGCCAGGTGCTTTTCTCACAGTGAATGTTGGCCGCAAACATGATCTATCCTTTGGCTAATTGAAATGCTTTTTTTTTGTCCGCGCCTTTATGCTGTTCCTCCCACTTGTATCATTGTCTACGTCTTACTTGTATGCTTTAAATTTTTTTCCTCCAGAATAATTTTTATTTTATTTTTCATCAGCAATTCTCTTTTTAGTCAAAGTCCCTTTGAATCTTTGTATTTGAATGTTCATTCCCCATTTTCTTGGAACACTAAACATTCGCCAGAGACTCTATTTTTTTAATTGCTAGTTCATGTCCAGGTTTCTGCATCCAAAGGGTTGAGATTTGAAACTTTTGGCAACTCTAATTTCTAATTTGATATTCATCTGTCTAGACATCTATAACTTGTCATTTTGTTGTGTTTGTGGCCATTCCTATTATTTGTTTTTTAAACATCTTTTTACAGTATACAAGTATTCACATTTACAAAAGTAACATTAAATTGCTATATTTTCTCATCTTACACTGCCAAAAGATATTAGATTAGAATTGTGCATCTATGATATTTCTTGTGTTTGATCAAAAGTACTTTTGTTTAGAATTTTAAGCAAAAAAGATCAGTGTAACATATTTATTTCTATGTATTTGTCAGGTTCTTGCCATAAAAAAAAAAAAAAATTAGTTAGCTGTATTATACTGGCAAAAGTTTGCAGTAATGTGATTGCAAGATATTACAGTTTGATGGTTAACTCCAAGCCCTCATACAGCACACTGGTGTACAGATACAGTGGAAACTGTTTACAGTGCTCTGGTTTTTATCTCAGTACTTTTTTGATGCAGTTTTTTTTCTTGAAGAAATAGTTTAAAATTCAACTTAACAGTATACTCAATTTTGTAGCCACCAAAAACTTTATGGATGCCTGTATGCATACAAAGGTTTGTATGTGTAAAATGGCTTGTGTGTAATGTTACTGCCTTTGTGTGTGTGTGTGTATATGCACACATCTGGTACAAATGTGTCATTTACATACATACACACACATATGAGCACGCATGCGTGCTCACACACACACACCCACACATACATACATACATGCACACACAGACGCACACAGACAAAGACTGAAAATACTGTAAAAGGTCATGGATAAATTGAGGATGGCAGAGTCCCTAAGGACATCCTCTATGGTCGATTTACAAATGGGTTGAAGATGTTGAAGTGTGCCTGTACTACAGTATAAAACTGCGTGCAAACAGGAGATGAATTAAATGACTACAGAGGTAGATTCACAGGCAAAAATGTCCTAGATCAGTTGTTCAGTTAATGTGTTCTCTGATGGTCTTTAGTGTGCAGGTCACGCCCCCTATGTGCAGGTCGCGACCCACAGGTCGAGCACTGCTACCCTAGATCTTGTTGCAAGAGGGGGGGGGGGGGGGGGGGGGGGGGGGAGAGGGGGGGGTGGGGGGGGTGGGGGGGGGGGGGGGGGGGGGGGGGGGGGGGGGGGGGGGGGGGGGAGAGGGTTTTTTTTTTACCGCTAAAATGGAGCCGTGGAACCCACATGTGGAGTGCATATTCCCAAACTCTGATCTGATTTCTGTTTAATTACTCACTGCATCCTGCAACATCTCAAAAGAATCTAGGTTCTTTTTATCTTTTTTGTTGTCCATAGATTAGAGTGTCATGATCTAGATAAATAATATATACTGTGTTTATTAATTTCTGCAGATTATTATCTTGTTCTAGTTTTCTAAAAAGATTGAACAATGCCTAAATGTTGATAGGTAGGTGATGTCTGGAGCATGAACTGACAGGGTGTGTCCTCAGTCGGTATGAATTTTAGAAGACAGCATAGCGTTGAATGCAAGTTTTTTTTAGGCTGAAGTTCAAATGTGTCTCCACAAATAAACTACATGTAAATGTTGCGTATTTGGGGAGGGGAAAGGGGGGGGGGGGGGGTGAAAGAGACCAGCTTGTGTGCAGAATTGTTCTTCCAGTTATGTGTTGAAATAATATAAGGTTAAATCAGTGTATCATGATCCTGAGAAGGGAGTATTAAAATATTTATTGTGCATCCGACCGCAGTGTTGGCTTGTTTTATTTTCTACACTTTTCTATCCTCTTTGAGTGTTCATGTGCAAAACTGTTATTCCATTCATGTGTTGAATGATACAGGCTGCCTGGATACCATGTATTCAATGGAGTCATGGTGAGACTGAATTTTAGTCAGTTAGCACTCTATATGTGCTAAAATCCCCTCGTTAGTAAATTCAGCTGCGTGTAGCAGCTGACATCAACAGTATCATGTTGGTTTGTTATTCTTCTTTAGCTTCCTGTATAGTGCTCTGTTATGGCCATAACCCTTTTAACATGTTGTTGTTGCAGTCTGACAGTTTTGTACATTCACCATCATCACTTGGTTCTCGCAAATGTCCTACTTCTTGTAGAGCATTCAGAATATCAGTATAATCCATGGCTCACAGAAGCTTCACCTGCAGACCTATCTGCTTGCTCATTTCCTTGCACGCTTATGTGCCCTGGCAAAAATATAAAACTGATATGTGTCAGCACAGACCACTTTAGATACTCAAGCCACTGTCTTCAGATCCAGCCCTTCTCTATCTTCCTGAGCACATACTCATTCAGTCACTGAGAAAGCGTGCACGGGAAAAGGTCCGAGTCTCCAACCATGTTATTGCTTAGGTCACTGCCATGACCTCCATAGTCAGACTACTTGTGGTCAAGACAACAGCACCAGAATGTGATATTACATTACGTACAAGTGCATCTGACTGACAGACAAAAACACAACCAGGAGGATATCAGTAGTAACAGCCAGCAGTTTTAGAGGGTGTACATAGAGGGCAAAAACAGATTAAGTTGAAGTTCCATTGCTGCCAACTTTCCTTAACATTCACCCATTGTAATGGCCAGTGAAAAGTTAGGCTTTGGTCTTGTTCCAGAACTTAAAGTATTGCATATCACTGTTTGAAAACCAGGAGACCAGTATTTTTCAACACTGCTCTTCATGGAATTAATCCCTCGTACTCAAGAATTTTGAAATGTGTCATTAATCTCCAAGTCACAGGCGACATCATCAGTTCTCGTTATGCCTAGTGGCACATGAGGCTTCGGAGAGGACTTTCCATGCTTTCCTGTCCTGTGCAATCTTCAGTGGAGTTTTCCATGTCAAAGATGCCGCACTCAGGTCACTTTCCATCGTTCGTCTCCATGTTGTTTTTGGGCGCCCCTGTTTTCTCTTTTCCTCTGGTGTCCATGTGAGAGCTGTTTTGGCAGGTATATCAGAAGTCATTCTCATAACGTGGCCCAGCCATTTCCATCCTCTCTTGGTAATCATACTGTCTAAAGTTACTTGGTTTGTGGCTTGAAGTAGTTTAGTGTTTGAGATTGTATCTGGCCAGAAAATTTTGATAATTCTACATAGACATGTGTGGTGGAAGCTGGACAGCTTGTGTGCATCCTTTTTGGTCATTCTCTAGCATTCCGCTCCATAAAGAAGAACTGGCAAAATGATGCTCTTGTAGAGTCAGAGTTTTGTTCCTCTGCAGTAATTGTTGGATTTCCAGATTTGCCTCATCCTTCCAAAAGCAGCTCTAGCTTTGTTCAGGCGTGACTGTATGTCTTCCTCTGTCCCTCCTAGTAGGGACACCACACTGCCAAGATATGTGAAATGTTCTACATTTTCAAGTGATTGGTTACTTATGGTCACTGGTTGTTGGTTTGGACTGTTTGTCATGATCTTAGTTTTCTTTGTATTTATTCTCAGTCCCACCATTTCTGCTGTGCAGTGTCGTCTGTTACTTTTCTCTTGTATATATTCATGTTTATGTGATAGGAGTGGTATATCATCTGCAAAATCAAGGTCCTCAAGCATGGTGAATGGAGTCCATCGTATGCCTCTTAATGTCCTGTCTACTGTGTTCTTTACAGGCGACATACTAAAGTAACAAAACAAAAAAAACTCTTCTCTCCCCCCCCCCCCAAAAAAAAACTGCCTTTTATGCTAATATTTGAAATGACCACTAAGCACTGGATGAGTGATGTAGTCAACATCATGACACCGATCTATACTTCCTAGGGCCCTATAATGCATCTATTTAAGACCTGGGGGTCCCCGTGTGGGTTCCAGGGTTCCTTTGTTAGGAAAACAAAAATAGACCCACTGCCTCCCCAACAAGCAGGCTTATCGTAAGAGTCGATTAACTGGGTGTTTCCTTCTAAGTCAGAGTTTATCTGCCTGAGATGCAATGAACCAACAGTCTGCATAAAAATAAGCCACTTGTAAAACGAATGCGCATGCAACACTCAGGTTCTGAAACAAGACTAAAGTCCAGAGGTGGAGGAAAACCATAACTTTCTGCTGGAATATACAGTCGGTGAACGCGAACAAGAAGAAGAAGACCCGACAGTCTTGGTCTTTTGTGTGTGTTTGTTTTTTTTAATCTGATTCAAGGTAAATTTGAGGCTACAATAATTTTTTATGTAAATGTTTCTGAAATCCTGGACATGTGTGTGTGTGCGTAAGAGAGAGAGAGATGTCTAATAGATGTTTATAGCTACAGCATTATGTTCTTGTATTCTGACAAATGTACTTGTGATAAATTTCCAATACAAGTTACATTCAAATCATTATATTCTTGTCTGAAATTCATACAAATATCAGGTAACCATTTGATACGTCCAATAAATGTTCATTACATCATTATGTTTATGATGAACATATGCACCAATACATGCCATCTGCTACATACTGATGTATATATATATTATATATATATATATATATATATATATATATATATATATATATATATATATATATATATATATAGTTGACATTTACATGCAACATGGGGGCCAGCTGCCTTCTTATTACCTATCATTATGTATGTGTTAATGTGCTCTAATTAAAACAAAAGTCAACTGTGTCAATACATATGAAAAAGATCACAAGTTATACTGATGAATAATTAATTTATTGCAAAACCATTTCTGCATCTTGTACTTAATATATTCAACATTACATTGTGAGAAATTATATTCACCATTTCATACCTTTTTTTTTAAACTGTGTCATGTAAAACAAGTTTGGTGGTACAGTCTGGTTGGGCGTGCGGTGCATGCATGTATGTGGTTGGGGAAGGGGGGTGTATATCTATACTAGAATATGTAACACTTTACACCAGAATAACAGCTTCAGGACTAGCTTCACCTTTTTAAAATCAGACAGACTCAACATTTATGATAAATGAATCAAGAACCGACATCCTAGAATCTAGGGCATTCTCTCACATCTTCTGCCAGTGAAAGTTCCCACACACTGACCATGCCAGATGCAATCCCTCTAGAAGTTTGCCTAAATTTTCATCCTACATATTTAAAACGCTCCAGACCCTCTGCCTGCACCCTGCTGAATCATTTTTATGATGAAACTTTAACTCATACACAATTCGGTTTATTCTAGGATGTATAAGAGATACCCCGGTAGTTTGTATTCCATATATGCTTGCACTGCCTACTATTGTAGACAGGCTCAAAGTTCTGCAAGCAAAGTCATATCTCAGTGTAGCTGCAGACAGGAAGTACCTCCAGGATGAAGCCCTAGGTAGAGCTAAGGGTCACAGACTCAAAAGAGAAAGGTCTTGGATGGCAAAAGCTGAAACACAATCAGATTTGTGTGAGGCTTCATAAATTTTGTGTGAGCTGAAGAGTAGGTCAAAGTGTCGGAGCAAGTTTCAGACTTGTGTAGGGTTCTTATCACTTTGGGTCGTGAGTGCAAAGACTGGCTAGCTGGCGCTGCAGAATCAGAAGTTCAAGAAATGATTCATGACATTTTCCACTCAGGTGATGTGATTATCTATATTATGGCTCTGTGTTGAGGGGCAGATGAAGTGCATGGGGGTTTATAGGAAAAGCGAATTGACGTCACTCAGTGCAACAATGCCTGGCATATGATATTACAACGCCTAGTTTGAGAATGGAGGTGGAGGCAGTCATTGCTGCATTCCCCTGGCTTGAGAATTAGCTGTAAACACATGCCGTGATTGTAACCGACACAACAGAGCATGTTAAGAAAGGTGGAGACAAGTATGCTCCGTGCAGAGTGGAATGCATCACTTCAGAGGTCCCAGGTAGTTAGCATCCTTTGGATATTCTCTCCAGATGTTTGGAAATGAGCAGACAGATAGACTCGCTGGTTCTGCACTACTTTGTGGTGAACCGATGTATGACAAGCTAGATGTTGTGAGGGCCCTTTGGGAGCGAGTGAATAGTGCAGAAGCACAAATAGTGCATTACGGTCTGAGGAGAATGGCGCTGTGAGGAGTTGCCAGGTGATCTGTCCAATGCTCAACACTCAAGGGAAAGGCAAGACAGATATACAATCAGACAGTTATTGGTGCCATCCGTATTGGAACACTTTGTTTGCTGCTGAAGATGGGGATGGAGCGCTTATGGGAGTGTCCTGAGTGCTATGATGTAGATTCTTAATTCAACATTTATGATGAATATTCCAAGAAATTAAAAAACTGAAAACACTAGCATTTATAGAATATAAAGACACACATTTCAAGATGAAACGATAGAAGCACATTACTTGTTTGTGTGTGCACCGGTGTATATGTGTGTGTGTGCATGTGTGTGCATTGGTGTGTGAGCATGTGCGAGCATGTGTGTGTGTGTGTGCACATGCATGTATGTGTGTATGTGATGTCTTATGTTATCAAAATAGACGTCAGTGCAAACTAGGCACACCTATTCAGGTTTAATCCTCTGATGCAGCAGCCAACACAAGCTACTTCTACTGACTCTTCTCTTGACAATTTGGTTATTACTCCTATCTTAATCTGAAAGATGTGATTGGTCAGGACTTTTTGGTGTGTACATTTAGGCTGTGTGTGTGTGTGAGGAGGGGGTTGCGGGGGGTGAGAGGGATGCTTGCTTTACTATGAAATACCATACCAATAATAACTGTTCTTATTAAATACTCTAAACAATATTAGTTTCCTTACAAGAAATGCCGCTTTATCTTAAGTAGTCTACAGGATAAATATGTGTTCTTTATATACTCTTTTTAAATTGTATAAAACACTCCTTATATGGATGACACAAGAAAGCAGATGCAACTTTCACATATTTAAGAAATCTACTCACATGAAACAAAAAATTAATTTATTCTTTCATGAGTACAAATATTTAAAAAAAAAAAAAACATACTACTGTCAAGCAATTCATATATTAACTAGCTTAATCAATACATGATTGTTTTAGGCTGTGGTTGGAATTATTTATCAAACCAAAGAAATAAATTAGCCACATAATATACATTTGATATAATACTGCACCTATTGAGTAGAAAAGAATAAAATGACAAGAGAAACAGTCAAACTTAAGATTATACTTTACACTAGAATTAAATGGCTAGCTAATCAAACATTAGATGTTATAAAGCAAGTTGGGCAATAACTTACTGGCTCACAATTAAACAGAAAGAGAAGAAAAAACTGCCATAAGGTTGTAATGAAATATATCAGAAATATCAGAAAACATGACAATGCAGTAGACCATTTTAAACAATGGTATCAAGAGGGGACAATTCAGAAAGCAATGGCAAATGCGTTGATTCTGATAATGTTATCAAGAGGTGACCATTCAGAAAGCAATGGCAAACTACCCTGTGAAAAAATGTCATGTAAAATCACAAACAGTTAAAAAATATTCTGCAACTGGTTCTACAACGTTCTGTAAAGAATATGCAACTAACTTTAACAATGCAATGAAACACTGGTCACTGAAAACATGAGCATGAAACGGCTGCTCTATTGCAAACAATAATAAACATGTATAAATATAATTTTTTGTAAGTAATGCAAATAATGGACACTTCATATATTTATTGTATTACAGATTACTTTTTTAGGTCCATCCATGGGTAATGTGGTCAACATTACAGTGGCCACCTTTACTTCCAAAGACATTGCCTGGTACCCATTTTAAGCTAGACCAACCTGGGAGTCAAAGAAAATATAAATGTGCATCTGTGGATTTGAGCATTAGACCTTTGGCCCGCAGCATTAAGTCACTACACTACCTTGATTATTCTTTACCAAACAAAATGGATGGAACTGATCAGACAGTTAACAGCCACTGATTACTCGACATCATTCATTATCATAGAACTAGAATGATGAGGACTTGGCCTAAAGAAAGTAGTATGAGAACACACATATATAATAGTTGGCATTCATGGGCAACAGCAAACAAAACAACACACAATGTCTTCTTTGGAAATGAAAGAGTCTGATTCATTGTAACTACATGTCCAACTAATTGGCATATGTGGTACGTGAAATGTTACAAAACTGCTGTATGATAATGAACTGTGACTTTTACAAAGATTAACAACTTATTTTTTAATATGTTTATCAGTTGGTGAAGGTTCTTGTGTGACAATCAAATTTGGCATCCCAAAACAGACCATGTTAAAAACACTTCTAGAAATTACAGTTCCATTTTCTTGTGTAGAAACTTCGTTTACCAACTCGTCATCTTGGGGTTTGTTCTGTTCTTCACCTTTATTATTCTCATTGTCTGCATAAAAATATATGACTGTGTTATAGGTTATTTAGAAATTATATAGTTATAGCATTACTAGAAACTATTTTATGTAAAATAAGGCAAAATATGTCAAATGGCATGAACTGAATATGGATAAAAAGTATTGCGATGATGAGACAGCGTACTTGACTTCTTTCTTTGTAAAGTTTGGTGACTATGAGATAGGGTGTCTAACTCCTTCCTTTGTAAAGTTTTATGACAATTATATAGGGTGTCCAACTCTTTCTTTGTAAAGTGTTGTAACTATGAGAAAGGTTGTCCAACTCTTTCTTTGTAAAGTGTTGTAACTATGAGAAAGGTTGTCCAACTCTTCCTAGGTAGATTGTTGTGACTATGAGGTGACTAAGCGGTGCTGGTTTGAGACTGACCACCTTGTCAAATAAAATTCCTTAGTTGAAATTCCTTACCTAAAAAATCAGATCAGTCACAGACAAGTCCACAAAGTACTTGATATAAGTTTGTTAGTAGCCTATGCTTTGTGGAGAAATAAAAAACAGACTGTTGTGGATCTTTTGCCCTTCCCTGCTGGAATAGCTAACTGAAGGTGTGACACCACAATGACTCAAAAGGCCATATTTAAAATGACAAACCATCTTCCAATACTCTGTTCAACTGTATTAAACGATATATTAGAGTACCCTATGTGTACACCATTTACCTTTCCTTTGGAGTTAGCAAAGCAGGCAAAAGATGGGCATGCTGCATTGGCAACACATAGTCTCTGCAATACTACTTAGGCTATGTACTGTGGACAGAAGGAACTTCATCCCTAACCTCAAATGGTCTTGGAATCAAACAGAGATTAAGAAGCAGCATGACAAAAGCCTGTGATGGCAACTGGTCCTGAAATCTCATGCATTTTTAGTAGAAGATTTTTATTTTCTAACATAAACTGGTCTTGCTAGTTACACTTACCACTGCCATAGGTTGCGATTCTCATACTCCTCTTAGCACAAAGGAACACTATCATACAGAAGGACGGAAAGGGTGCCAACATGTATCTACCATTTACTTACTACTCTGGTGTATCCTACTGTCCTGGTTAGGTAGGGGCTAAATTATTTTAGAGGTTGGAAGGCTGAAGAAGGCTTCTTCTTGCCAGAAAAAAACAATAAGAAGAGATATTTGACTGATACTTATGAACCACACACCCTGTCACTTAGAAAAATGGAAGCAGACCTAGAGGTTGACCATTCAAATGATGAACAGATGAAATATCTAAAGCTGTAAATACTAGCATCTACGTAGCGCATACCAAGGCTCAAACCTGATGCCTCTTCAAAACCTGATGCTGAAAGGCAGAACAGGACTAGAGCAGAAGAAGAAGAAGAAGAAGGAACGCATAAGTAAACAAGATGAAAAATGAACATTGAAAGAAACAAAAGCAATTGTTGAAGAAGGTATTTAATTTTGGAAAGCTATAAACATCATCATCCTGCCATGCTGGCACTTTTGGCCTCTCTCAACAATGGTCATCTTAGGGTTTTGGATCTCATCATTTTCTCAGCCATTTTGTTTCCCAGTTCCATGCAAATTATTTGTCTGATAACTGTAAATGCAAGCAGTTGTCCAGAAACATCTCATACAATTGTGTCTTTCTTGGAAAATAAATATGTGAATCTCCCTGTGTGGGTTCTGGGGCCCTATTATAGGAACAAAAATGATAGACCCACTGCCTACCCAAAAGCATATTGTAAGAGTTGACTAATTGGGAGCTTCCTTCGAAGTCAGAGTGCATCTGCTTGAAAGGCAAGAAATCAATAGTCTGCATACAAATGCGTCAGATCTGTAAAACAGATGCACATGCAACACTCAGGTTCTGGAATAGGATTGCAGTCCAGAAGTGGATGAACAACCAGAACTTTTTGCCAGAGTTTACAGCTGGTGAATGCAAAGAACAAAGAAGAGAATATGCCAATTCTATAAAGCAAGACACATACATGACTACAAACACACACATGAATGTATGTGCATACACAGACATTCAATTCTACAGTGTAAAATACCTTTAGGCTTAAGTTTGTCTTTTGGAACAGGTAATTCCACCTTGTTCTTTTTCTTATCTCTGTTTGCTGCCATGTCCTTGGCTTTTGCCATCATGTCTTGAGCCAGTTTCTCTTCTAAAACTGCTTTGTGAGGATTCTGGAGCATGTAAGATGTTTGCCCTGTCGTCTTGCCTTTCTGTAGTAAAACTAAGACATAATATATCTAGATTTTATTATCGCGGAAGATAAATATTTTTTTTGGTTTGAAAGACTACAAAGCTCAAATAAATTTTGTATGATAATTGAAATTTGAAAAACTGTGGAGAAAAGCCATCAAATATGTCTTTTCTCTGCCCATAGCTGCATTTTAATATTTCTTTTGTTTTTGGTTTTGTTTGCATCTTTCCGTCTTTCCAGACAATTGTGTAATAATGTGCTAATGGCAAATCACAGGGCATGATGAAGAGGCAAGTTACTAGCAAGACCTGCTTGCATCCAGAAACGTTCCCACAATTTTAGAAATTAAAAACATTTCACTTCATTTAACCACAAATTTGTTTTGTTTTTATATTGAATATAAAAAAATGAACATCTTAAAATTTAATGTTTTCAACTGTGCTTTGTAGGTTTAACTCTTTTTAAACCCAAAAAAAATCATAAATGATATTTAATTTTGGCAATAATGAATAAAACATATCAAAAGGGGACAAATACACAGCACATTGTTGGAGACAGACTAGCTGTTGAATTGCCTGACTAAATGTAAAATGTACAAACACATATCACAAGCTGATGGCACACATGACTGATATCCAATCACACACGGTGCCTTGTTTGGTTCATATAGAGTTAATGGCAGATTGTAAGAATAATGGAGTTTAAAAGTTCCTACATGCAATAAAAATGTGTAGGTAGACTTTACTGTACTATACATACAGACATTATGGAAAATGACTATATTCACATCATGAGGTATATTTATGACTTACAAGCCATGGTCTGGTGTATCCTGTTGGCATTCTCTTCCAGTGAACAGTTCCACTGATTTAGAAGAATGCATTTAACGCCGCTTAAGCTGGTCAGCATTGCTGTCTCTACCGGAGACTCGAGGCTCAAATCTATTGGACTAGTTGAAAAATAAACAAAACAAACAAATTTTAGGATTAATATCAGACAAAACGTAGAAAGCCAATCATTAAAATTCTTATAAAACTAATTTAAAAAAAAAAACTTTATGAACTACAAGATTCCCAAATCAATAAAAATGTATCAACAATTTTCTTTACAATACAGTAAAATTTCAAAGACAAAAAGAACCTTTTCAAAGTATCCAGTTTACACTGTCTGTTGAAACTCTTCTGTGTCTCTGCTTTATCAAAGGAGAGCAGGATGTTACAATCTGAAAATAAAATAAAAACAAATATCATTAGCCTTTTTTGATAGGCAGGTAATCCTGTGACGGTTGAGAAATAATTATGACACGTGGAGTCACCAACTAGACAGTGAGAGATAATTTATGACACTTGGAGTCACCAACTAGTCAGTGAGAGATAATATATGACACTTGGAGTCACCAACTAGTCAGTGAGAGATAATATATGACACTTGGAGTCACCAACTAGTCAGTGAGAGATAATATATGACACATGGAGTCACCAACTAGTCAGTGAGAGATAATTTATGACACTTGGAGTCACCAACTAGACAGTGAGAAATAATATATGACACTTGGAGTCACCAACTAAACAGTGTGAGATAATATATGACACTTGGAGTCACCAACTAGTCAGTGAGAGATAATATATGACACTTGGAGTCACCAACTAGACAGTGAGAGATAATATATGACACTTGGAGTCACCAACTAGACAGTGTGAGATAATATATGACACTTGGAGTCACCAACTAGACAGTGTGAGATAATATATGACACGTGGAGTCACCAACTAGACAGTGAGAGATAATATATGACACTTGGAGTCACCAACTAGACAGTGAGAGATAATATATGATACTTGGAGTCACTATCTAGACAGTGAGAGATAATTTATGACACTTGGAGTCACCAACTAGACAGTGAGAGATAATATATGACACTTGGAGTCACCAACTAGTCAGTGAGAGATAATTTATGACACTTGAAGTCACCAACTAGTCAGTGAGAGATAATATATGACACTTGGAGTCATCAACTAGACAGTGAGAGATAATATATGACACTTGGAGTCACCAACTAGACAGTGAGAGATAATATATGACACTTGGAGTCACCAACTAGACAGTGTGAGATAATATATGACACTTGGAGTCACCACTAGACAGTGAGAGATAATATATGACACTTGGAGTCACCAACTAGACAGTGAGAGATAATACATGACACTTGGAGTCACCACTAGACAGTGAGAGATAATACATGACACTTGGAGTCACCAACTAGACAGTGAGAGATAATACATGACACTTGGAGTCACCACTAGACAGTGAGAGATAATACATGACACTTGGAGTCACCACTAGACAGTGAGAGATAATACATGACACTTGGAGTCACCAACTAGATAGTGAGAGATAATACATGACACTTGGAGTCACCACTAGACAGTGAGAGATAATATATGACACTTGGAGTCACCAACTAGACAGTGAGAGATAATACATGACACTTGGAGTCACCAACTAGACAGTGAGAGATAATATATGACACTTGGAGTCACCACTAGACAGTGAGAGATAATATATGACACTTGGAGTCACCAACTAGACAGTGAGGGAGAATATATGATACTTGGAGTCACTATCTAGACAGTGAGAGATAATTTATGACACTTGGAGTCACCAACTAGACAGTGAGAGATAATATATGACACTTGGAGTCACCAACTAGTCAGTGAGAGATAATTTATGACACTAGGAGTCACCAACTAGTCAGTGAGAGATAATATATGACACTTGGAGTCACCAACTAGACAGTGAGAGATAATATATGACACTTGGAGTCACCAACTAGACAGTGAGAGATAATATATGACACTTGGAGTCACCAACTAGACAGAGAGAGATAATATATGACACTTGGAGTCACCAACTAGACAGTGAGAGATAATATATGACACTTGGAGTCACCAACTAGACAGTGAGAGATAATATATGACACTTGGAGTCACCAACTAGACAGTGAGAGATAATATATGACACTTGGAGTCACCAACTAGACAGAGAGAGATAATTTATGACACTTGGAGTCACCAACTAGACAGTGAGAGATAATATATGACACTTGTAGTCACCAACTAAGCAGTGAGAAATAATTTATGACACTTGGAGTCACCAACTAGACAGTGAGAGATAATATATGACACTTGGAGTCACCAACTAGACAGTGAGAGATAATATATGACACTTGGAGTCACCAACTAGACAGTGAGAGATAATAAATGACACTTGGAGTCACCAACTAGACAGTGAGAGATAATTTATGACACTTGGAGTCACCAACTAGACAGTGAGAGATAATTTATGACACTTGGAGTCACCAACTAGACAGTGAGAGATAATATATGACACTTGGAGTCACCAACTAGACAGTGAGAGATAATATATGACACTTGGAGTCACCAACTAGACAGTGAGAGATAATAAATGACACTTGGAGTCACCAACTAGACAGTGAGAGATAATTTATGACACTTGGAGTCACCAACTAGACAGTGAGAGATAATATATGACACTTGGAGTCACCAACTAGACAGTGAGAGATAATTTATGACACTTGGAGTCACCAACTAGACAGTGAGAGATAATTTATGACACTTGGAGTCACCAACTAGACAGTGAGAGATAATTTATGACACTTGGAGTCACCAACTAGTCAGTGAGAGATAATAAATGACACTTGGAGTCACCAACTAGACAGTGAGAGATAATTTATGACACTTGGAGTCACCAACTAGACAGTGAGAGATAATATATGACACTTGGAGTCACCAACTAGACAGTGAGAGATAATTTATGACACTTGGAGTCACCAACTAGACAGTGAGAGATAATTTATGACACTTGGAGTCACCAACTAGACAGTGAGAGATAATTTATGACACTTGGAGTCACCAACTAGTCAGTGAGAGATAATATATGACACTTGGAGTCACTATCTAGACAGTGAGAGATAATTTATGACACTTGGAGTCACCAACTAGACAGTGTGAGATAATATATGACACATGGAGTCACCTAGTCAGTGAGAGATAATATATGACACTTGGAGTCACCAACTAGTCAGTGAGAGATAATATATGACACATGGAGTCACCAACTAGTCAGTGAGAGATAATATATGACACTTGGAGTCACCAACTAGTCAGTGAGAGATAATATATGACACATGGAGTCACCAACTAGTCAGTGAGAGATAATTTATGACACTTGGAGTCACCAACTAGACAGTGAGAGATAATATATGACACTTGGAGTCACCAACTAGACAGTGTGAGATAATATATGACACTTGCAGTCACTAACTAGACAGTGAGAGATAATATATGACACTTGCAGTCACTAACTAGACAGTGAGAGATAATTTATGACACTTGGAGTCACCAACTAGACAGTGAGAGATAATATATGACACATGGAGTAACCAACTAGACAGTGTGAGATAATATATGACACTTGGAGTCACCAACTAGACAGTGAGAGATAATATATGACACTTGGAGTCACCAACTAGACAGTGAGAGATAATATATGACACTTGGAGTCACCAACTAGACAAAAAAAGCTAATTATAGAGACAAATGGAGGCGAGTGATATCTACAACAATGACCTTTAAGGGCACAGAAAGCAGAAAAGTAACAGGGGGAAAAAACAGTAATCATGTAGTAGATGGTGCCATAAAGGCAGGCAGTGCTGGAATTTACTTTCCAGATAACAGTAAACTTGACAGACAGGTTTTGTTTGGGAAATGTCATGGAAAGGTGTCAGCATACAAACTAAAACTATACTGCACAAAATCTCAAAATGTGAAGAAGCATTGCTAGTCAGCAAGGAACATCATGATGACCTCACAGGATAAAGGCCTAGAAAACTGGTTAAGGACAATGACATTGATCCTCAACTTTATCAGCCTTGGTATAGTTCATTCTGTTGAGGTTATGGTGTTTTTTGCTCAGTCACTCTCTCACTCACTCACTCACTCACTCTCTCCCCTTCTCTCTCTCGCTCTCTTTCTCATTCTCTCCCACTCACTCACCCACTCACTCACTCACTCACTCACTCACTCACTCACTCACTCACTCACTCACTCACTCACTCACTCACTCACTCACTCACTCATTACTCACTCACTCACTCATTACTCACTCATTACTCACTCACTCACTTACTAACTCACTTACTCACTCACTCACTCACTCAATCTCCAACTCTCTCTCACTCTCTCTCTCACTCTCTCTCGCTCTCACTCCATTCCTCTCCACGCCACAAAACACACACATACACTCACACACACACATACACAAAGAAGACAAAAATGATGGTATACTCCTTCTGATACTCAGGTAGAGGACTGGATGTCTAGATTATATGCCAGAAGAAAAATAGAAGAAGTAATATGTTCGGCAGGTTAACACTTTCACTACCGAAAAACACACGACAAATTTTTTGGTCAGTCTAAAGACAAGGTGATATTCTTGTTGTCTTCTATCATGAACTGATGTTATATTGATTCTTGGATTTAAATTACTGGTTTAACTACTCCTGTCTCGGGTCGACCTTGGGTACAGGTACTGTCCTGGGAAGTAAAGGTAGACAGCACTATGCTGATCGCATCACTTATTGAGTGCAGATCTGTCTACAGAAATATAAGTCTAGCACTAAATATCCAATGTACTAAAGGTAAGAAAATGGACCTTCATTGTCTTTTTTTTTTTTTTTATCTGACTGAAAAAATACTCCATCATTAGTTTAGTTAACAAACAGCAACATCAGCATACAATATACTATATTTGTCCATGTATAAAACAATTTGCTTCCCCAGATTGTTTAAAATTTAGAATTCAGGGTTGTCTTATAAAAGGAATGTGTTTAAAATATTTATTTATTCATTTTGGGCTTAAAAAAAAGAATAGGTATCATCTTATGGATGGACAAATATGGTAATGAGGAACAGAGCACAACAAACAAACCTGTCAAATTAAGAGCAGACATTTTATATGGGGGAATGTATCCCAATAGTCTCTCCGTCCCATAAAAGATAAATGCGCTACTTTCTGTCATGTAGATTTCCCATTCTCCAACACTGAAAAGATAAAATATATTTAAATATAGAACATCTCCAGATGTAGTGACATGTGAAGAATTTGGAGTCCTTCCATATGAACTCTTCTAAATCATTAACAATGATTTACTAGCTGCTGGATTTAGTAAGGAGGGGATCTGAGCACTTATGGACTCAATGGTTCAACAAGCGATGATGATAATCTGTCGACTAGCCAACTAATTAACTTCATCGTAAATCCGATTGGATGTCAGGGATCTGATTTCATCTTAAGGAAAGCACTGGCTCTGGAGATTTGATTCTGTTGTTAATTGGTAAGGTTCAAGAGGTATCACAGCAGCTGGCAGGATGTACTCCTAGTGCAACCAGAAATATCACACATTGCCTTGTTTTCAACTGTTTCCATCTGTTTCCATTTTCTTTTTACCTGCGTGAAGCTGAGCATAATGATTGCCAGAACTTACTCAATGGTGGAGAGGACATCACTGGTACAGTATGACAAGTAGCCATTGCTCAAGTTCATAGCAGCCATAACAGTTTTTGTCGATTAACCTTATCTTGGCCTTGGTAATAGTAAGGTCTGCATGCTTTTTAAATGATAGGCATCTGTCAAATCATGCACTTAGGTGTCTCATAGAACCAGACCTCTTCATGCCACAAAGTTCTACAATGGCACTAATATCTTCACAATGAGAACCAGTTATTCAGTAATTAGATGGAACATGCAATTCTATAGAAATTTGATAAGATCTACTGACCTCCCCAAAAAGATCTAACAATACTACAGGGCTGGGTACAGAGATCAGGAAAAGAATCAGGCAAAGAGGATTCTAGATTCAAAATTTCACTGGATGAGTCTCAAACATGTAATTATTATGTCCAATATAACTGACTGAAAGAGGTGGAGGTCCTGGTTCAAACAACAACTGATAACCACATTTCTTTTGTCATCACCTCTACTTTCCTATACTGGAACTCAGTTTACAAGGCTGGACAGCCCTAGATAAGTTCAGCAATGAAAGAAATTATGTTTAAACCAGAACTAATCTAAGTAGGAAGGTGCATTAATCACTGTGCAGGTCACCCAATCTGGATGTCTTGACCCAGTATAGTTAAGATTTAACACTTTACACTGTGCAGCAGCACCTGCTATGGAAATACATCTCTTCTTCTTCTTTTTCTGCCCTTTACACTCCCCTCCTCCATGCAGTACAGGCCCTCAAATAACTCAGGCATCCTATTCTTTGCAATTTCATGCAGTTCACCACATCTTTTTAACTTCACTCTCTAGTTCCCTTCTCCATGTGTATTTTGTCTGCCTTTATTTCTTTGACCTGTGGGTTCTACTGGAAAGACATTCTAGAAATACTGTTATAAGGTTTTCTCAACATGTGCCCTATCCAACACCAGCATTTCTTTCTTCATCTCTTGATTTATTGAAAGTAAGAAAAGGCACATCAGAGGAATTACTAGGCCAGCATGTAAAAAACTCAACTACTTGATTCACCTGGGAGTGTGATCACTTCCTTGGATACCCAACCATCGGGCGGTGAACTGTTGCTCATACTGCTCAAGAATCTGTCCAAACTCTTTTTGTGGAGCTTTGACTTCAACTGCAGCTGAATCCAGGAAGGGATCCACAATGTCTCAGGTATAGTGAAGGACTTTGTGGAAATTCAACAATCACATATTTTCCAAGAAAGAAAGAAAAAAGGATAAATATCTCTGTGTGCCCATGGAGATAATAGAGAATCTGTTGCATGGCTCAGTTTGTCCATGATTTACCAGCCCTCTTTTTCCTTAAAGTGGAAGAAATGACACACCATTGGAAACGCAATCTAGATGATCTTCTGTTATAGAGAAGGCACCTCACTGAATATTACATGTGTAGAGGGGGTGCTTTCATGGCACAAGGGGGTCAGGCCATTTCTCTTGTGCTTTGTAGTCATTTATGTATTGGGGGTGGGGGGGGGGGGGGGGCATGTGCCAATTGGTGTCTGATTTGGTGATCTGTGGGATCAATACCGGAGTTATAGAGCTCATGCTTTGTGCAACATTTTCAGCAGGTAGATAACAACAATGCAGAATGAGCTCCAGCCAGATTGAAATCAAATCTAGTGCAATGAAGTCACTGCACTCATCTTTAACCACTAATTTAGTCAGTGTGTGTGTCTGTGCGTGTGCATGTAAAAAATAAAAGGGGGAGTGGGAGGGGGTAATAAATTACATCACTAGCTGGAAAAAAATTAACATAAATGCAACAATTCCTTACCAACATGAGAAGTTAAATACAGAAGAATAAATCAACAAATCCTTACTAACAGATCTGAGAAATTAAAAAACAGAGTCATAAATTCAACAACTCTTTACTAGGAGATGAAGGAAGTTTAAGCCAAGACTACAATTTATAACATGGTTTGCTGCATAATAATTATTTACTGAGATTTAAAAAAACAAGGTCTCAAGGATACATCTGAAGAAGTGGGTGTTCACTGCCGCCTGCCAGCCTTGTGGAGCCCTATCCAAGGGAACCTAAACAAGTTCAAGAAACGCCGTGTTGTAAAACTGACTTTAACTGTTGGCTTTAAAAAAAAAATCAATATTAAGTTACATAAGACTCTGAAACAATACAGTGTGACATTCTGTTATGAATACTGACTAAAGGTCAAACTGACTGATAACTGGCTGCTTGGATGTGTACTGCTGATTATTTATTTAGTCAACAGAACATTATTAAAGCACATTAACCCATTCAATCTTTTAGTATTAAGTAATATACCATACCTTGTATTAATGCTACATACATGACGTTAGTACCCTAACTTCTGTCCAAATACTGTATTACTTTACCCAATCTGATCCTAAGTGTAATTTTGGCTTCTGTCATTTTATACCTTCAACTAATTGTCTAAGCAATTAAGGCAGAAGGACAGTACATTATCATTGGGATAAATAGAGTTAAAGTAAGAACTGCTTGGCAATGAAAGAGTTAATGCTCAGACCCTCCCCATGGTATATCACTCAATCTGTGATGACTTTGACAAGGATGTGCACTCTATGTGTGTCTGTCCGACTGTCTATTTGGATGGATTGATGGACACATGGACATGTTTGCATCCACGAGAATCTGCGACAGTATGAATGTGCACATAGACACTCTGTGGGCATATATATATGCGTGCATGCATGCGTGCCTCTGTGTGTGTACACACACACACACTTGCGTGCTTACATAAAGGCACACACTGGTGTCTGACACAAGTTTTTTTTTAAACCAAAACTAAGGATGACAATAATGGTAAAATACTTGCTGTAAATTGTAACTGTGGTAATGATGTTAGCAATGATAAATATTATGTCAGTTGAGTAATGGTAATATTAGGACACTGGTGATACATTATGTTGACAGTAATGATAATATTAGGACACTGGTGATACATTATGTTGACAGTAATGGTAATATTAGGACACTGGTAATACATTATGTTGACAGTAATGGTAATATTAGGACACTGGTAACACATTATGTTGACAGTAATGGTAATATTAGGACACTGGTAATACATTACGTTGACAGTAATGATAATATTAGGACACTGGTGATACATTATGTTGACAGTAATGGTAATATTAGGACACTGGTGATACATTATGTTGACAGTAATGGTAATATTAGGACACTGGTAATACATTATGTTGACAGTAATGGTAATATTAGGACACTGGTAACACATTATGTTGACAGTAATGGTAATATTAGGACACTGGTAATACATTACGTTGACAGTAATGATAATATTAGGACACTGGTGATACATTATGTTGACAGTAATGGTAACATTGGGACACTGGTGATACATTATGTTGAAAGTAATGGTAACATTAGGACCCTGGTAATACATTATGTTGACAGTAATGGTAATATTAGGACACTGGTGATACATTATGTTGACAGTAATGGTAATATTAGGACACTGGTAATACATTATGTTGACAGTAATGGTAATATTAGGACACTGGTAATACATTACGTTGACAGTAATGATAATATTAGGACACTGGTGATACATTATGTTGACAAAGGTTCTGATGAGACAGGGCTTCTTCTTCTTCTTCTTTGCCTTCACAGGCGGTAAACTCTGAGGAAAGTTTTGTTTGATTTTCCACTCCTAGACTAAAGCTTTGTTCCAAAACATGAGTTTTGTGTGCACATCTATTTCACAGATCTGGCTTATTTCTATGCAGACTGTTGGTTCCTCACCTTTCAGGCTAATTTGATTTTGAAAGGAGAACCCCTAATAAGTCACCTCCTATGCCATGATTGTTAGGGAACAGTGAGTCTATTCCCTTGCACTCCCCCCCCCCCCCCCCCTTTTCCACCTTAACTGGGGCCCCAGAACCAACACAGGAAGACTGAGACTGAAAAGAGTTGTTGAAAGAAATAACATCAGATCATATATAAAAAATGATTAAATATTTCAGCCACATAACCAAACAAAACATAAAGCTCATAAAAACTATACTGGATGGAAAATGCTGAAGACAAACAAGAAAAAGATTAACAGTAACACAAATGGGAAAATGACATCAACAGAATAAACAGCAGTCCCAGAGAGTTTACAGCCATGGCAAGAGACACTGAACATTGGAGATCCAATGTGGCCAATCTTCATTGTAAGGACAGCATGTAACTGACTGATGTTGACAGCAATAGTAACATTATAACACTGATTATAATTACGCTGACCATTAAGTTAATATCTGAATACCACTGACAATGATAGTGAGCTGCAGTGGGGTAATGGTTAGACTCTGGCCTGATGGTCTAAGGGTCAGATCCTCAGGAGGCAAATATTATTCAAAATCTACCTTCGCTCCCAGGTCAACCCAGGGTAAAATAGGTAATAGTAAAGTCCTGGGAAGTAAAGTCAGCCAAAATGATGTTGACCACATAACTCACAGAAGGCAGAATAGTCTAAAATATAAATCTAGCACTATATGCCCGAAATGCCTAAGGCATAATGATGTCTGCATTTAATGATAATATTATAAAACCAATGATACTGATGTTGACAGCAATGATAAATAACCAAAACCAACTATCATTCTATGAACTTAGATACTTACAATCTTAGCTGCTTTTTGTTTAGCATCCCTCAAGGATAATATTCTAGATGCCATTTTGCTCGCTTCCTTTGATGTTTTCTTTTTGCCATCAGTCTTAACATCAAGACCCTTCCCTCCATACTCAGAGTCTGTAAAAGTTGGCACAAATTAAAGACTTACATCAAACAGTTTTTTGTGTGTGGGTTTTTGTTGTTGTTGTTGTTGTTGTTTGTCGACCCCTTTCCATCCTTCCAGATGATAGTGTTTTATTATGCTACAAGGAAGAAAGAGAATGAAGTTCCTGCTCTCCATAGCATAAAGCCTGTAGAGACTATCTGTTGCCCATGCATCATGATGCCTCATTTGGCCTGCCATGTTTACTAAAAAGAAAAAGTAACATCAACATATTTGGAATGAAACACTGCAGAAGCTACTGGCTCAGAAAAGTGGTGCTCAGTCTGTCCTTCTGTAAAAGCTTCCCTCACTGATCAGCTGCCAGCCAAGGCTAAGAGCCTGGTCTTCTCGCCAAAACATTAAGTAATTAGGTTGTATTTCTTCTTCCTAATTCCCAGGATTACCAAGGTGTCCTTGACGTGGAGGTGACAGCCATTAAATCAAGCCACTCCAGCGACAGAGTCCGCAAGTCTCTTGAGAATCGCCTTATTTACACTTTGGGTACTTTAACACCCTCCGGACTGAATTGCCAAAACAGTTTTATTCAAACTCCTAAGGGATTGAACTGCCCTTACAGTTTTATTTTAAACCCCCTGGTTATGGCCCCTTGTACTTCACATGGGATATCTATTTCCCTAGCCCCATTCGTGTAGGCAGTCTGCTGGGAAACCATTGACCGGGCTGCTTCAAGATACCAGCTAAGTGATTTTGTGTATTTCTGTGGTATTGTTTGATTTGTATGTGTGTAACGAAGTTGAGTCTCTCAGTTTTAAATCTTATTGTCATTCCTCCCTAAACAATTCAAAGAAGATTTTGAAAACCATCTGTTATCCATGTTTATAAAGTTATGTTTTTTGCGTTAGGGCTATGAAAGAAACCATGACTGAGTCCACAAAAACAGATTACAGGGACAAAGGTAGCTACATACCCTGTTTTCCTTGCTGAGCTCGGTGACATAAGAGCTGTAGGGAGAAATCCCTGGATATAGAAGTAACTCCCTCCATCTGCTGCAAGTACTGACTTGCCTCCAGGGGCAGGCACATTAAATCTGCATCAGCCAGCACCACTAAACACTCATTTTTTGGAAGGTGTTCCCTGGAGCCTTTTTCTTTATCTTTGCCTTCAGTAGATAAGTCTCTGCCAATGTTTGTGGCCACGTTGTCATCCCTGTAATTAACAAGACATAGATATTGTCATATATAAATGTTTTACATACTGGCTATATATATCAAAGAGGCACAATTTTTTGGATGACATCATTGTCCCTTTTTTTGTGTGGGGGGGGGGGGGGGGGGGGGGGGGAGGGCGAACAAAGATTTCTGAGCAACATCTTTGTTCCTTTTTGGGAATAAAGATTTCTGAGCAACATCTTTGTTCTGAAAACAAGAACAAAGATGTTGCCCAGAAAATTCACAATATATCAACCATGTCTGCATTATGGTTAGTGTACTAACATAATGTTGCAATAGGTGCCGGTTCAATCTCCATTTAAGGTAAACATAGTCCCATAGTCCCAGGTCAACCCAATCTAAAACAGTCTCTGGTTATATTTGTGGTCTGGTTTATTTGCACCACTCACGTGGCTTCAGATTGTGGTATGTGAGCCAGCTCTCTGGCTTAATGTTCATTTCCACAGAAACAGACAGCTCCTTCCTTTTCTGTGTTTCAATGCCCCTGTTTCTAGTTCTATACCAGTTACTGATGTTAGGGTTTGAGGAGTTATGCCTTTTTATATTCTAAGCCATAACATATAATATGAAGTGGTCAGTTTCCATCCTCTTAACCTGGCCATCACAGGCAGGCAGAGGAAATGCTAAATGTTGAATTCAGCCCTCAGGATATTTTCATAATTGCTCTGTCCTCATCTGCAACAGCAAGCACAGAGTTTCAATTCTGATGGTACCAGTAACAGTCAGACTGAATATATGTCTTGCTTTTCCCTTGATTGTTGAGCGTCAGCCAGATATCCTGGCCACTCCTTGCAGCATCATTCTCCTCAGACAGTGATGACTTATTTGTGCCTCTGCAATTTTTACTTGCTCTAAAATGACCCTTGAAAAATCAATCTTATCCTGCATTATTTCAACATCAAGAGGAGTAGAACCAGCCAATCTATCTGCCTGTTCCTTTCCCGAAACACTGGCATGACCCGCATAAATTATCCAAAGGACACTAACTGCCTGGTACATGCAGATATGACCCCACAACTGCATTTGGTAGGAAGAAAAAAAGAATATTAAAACATGACTAAGCTGATATGACATAACTTTCACAATCTTTGTAATAGCTAATGTTAGATAGTGTGCCAGACACAATCAATTTATTCATCCTTAACACTAATTTAAGCTCAAATGAATGCATTTTCTGTAGTTTACTTGCTTGTAGACAATGACATTGTTGTTACTTTCAGAGACAGGTTTTACGAAATAAAGCAATAGCAATTTGGCTATGACAACTGTAAAAAAAAACTATATGTGGCATATTCAAGGAAAAGATCATATTATTGTAACATGTTCTTTTTTTTACAAATTAATGATGACAAAATAGCACAAGTTTAACCTTTCAGTTTATAACAGAAAAATTGTCCCTTCTCTTTCTCTTCTCTCTCTCTCTCTCTCTCTCTCTCTCTCTCTCTCTCTCTCTCTCTCTCTGTCTCTCTCTCTCTCTCTCTCTGTCTCTCGCTCTGTCTCGGTCTCTCTCTCTTTCTCTTTCTCTCTCTCTCTCTCTTACACATGCATCTATGTCGGTGCACTTGTGTATGCTTGAGTAAATGTGTAATATTGGTGTTTGGTGGTTTGGACATTCAGTGAGTGTGTGTGTTTGCATATGTGTGTGCATATGTGTGTTTGTGTGTGTGTCTGTGAGAGAGGGAGGAGAAAGAGAGAGAAGACAGAGAAGAGAGGAGAGACAAAGACAGAGACAGAGGAAGGGGGAGAGAGAGAGAGAGAAAAACTTTTCAGTACCAGACAACGCACAATATGTTTACTAATGACTCTTGACCAATTGTTCTCAATTAACTATAAAAATAATAAAAAAGTCGGGAAATGTGAACCAGTGTCATTGCACATGGTTATAAACCATAAGTGCTCTGCCACCACTATGGATAGCTGAAAAGAAACTGTCCGCCTGTGTCGCTGTCCGCACGCAATTCCATAGCTACAGCGATGTTCCTCCATTTACCACAGAGTGTTAATTCTGGTACCCATTACCTAGAGGCTGGGTGAACGCCGGGAACCGCCCGGTTTCGAATGCCGACTGTGGGTTGCAGCGAGTTGCAGCTGGATTTGAAAACAAGCCTCCTATCGACTGCGCTAATGCTAAGCTAAGAACTGCGACCCTTCTCATCTTCGTAGGTCTGCCAGGGACCCAATAATTTGTTATAATTCTTATCTAAAAACTCATTATAATTTATAAATATTAGAACCATAAAAAGGAGTGCTTTCTAAATCTGAGGCTTGTTACTTTTATCAATAATATCACAGACAGTTTAAATTTATTCTGTGGATCCCGGGGGAGGGGCGGGGGTGGTGTCTGTGGACCTTAAATAGGAAAAAATGCTCTTTCTAGTTGTATACATTGCGTAACTTTTCCTACTCCATTCGTTTATAATGGTTTTATATTAAAACCCTATTGTCCCATTCATTTTCTATCATATAATGCTTATTATTTTCTGCTCGTTCACAGTCTGTAAACTCTGATGCAAAGTTTTGGTTGTTTACCCACTTCTGAACTTTATCTTGTTCCAGAAGTTGAATTTTGCACATCTGTCCATTTGAAATATCTGGTGTATTTTATGCAGACTGTTGGTTCCTCAACTCTCAGACTGATGCACTCCAACTTTAGAGGAATTAGTCAGCGTATATGACATGCTTGTTAGGAGGTCTATCCATTTCCCCCCCCCCCCCCCCAATGTGGCCCTAGAACCTATGCAGCAAGCATAATAGCTATTACAATATTCTCTATCATTATAATCATGTAGCAGGTCCTTTGCAAAATGTCGCTCTCATCGCACCCTGCCTGAAAGAAACTTAGCCTTTCACCATCTCTCCCGCCTTATGTACTTGCATATTTAAGGAGTCACTTATATCCTGTGGCCATCTTAACGTTGGTCAGCTCCTGCCTCTCCTTCCTGGTACCATGCCTTCTGTCATTACTTTTTTTCAATCTGTCGTGGCACTTGATATGACCAAAATATTTTAGCTTCCGAGACAAAATGCTGTTTATTAGCCGATCTAATCCTGTCTGGTGACTAAAATCAACAGCTCCTACAATATACCGATAGGATTATTCAGTTGGAAAATATGAGGCAAAATTGGAAAGCAGGGATCAGCAAATATAATTAAGTAACATCTTAACTCTTTGAGTCCCAAGGAACACATCATATAATCATAGGTTCCTACCTGGAAGCCCAATGAATGCAAGATATACAATTTTACATCTTTCTTGACTACCCATTGGGCCTGTGATGCTAAACCCCCTGGGACTCAAACAGTTAACTACAAATTTATCCACACGAAATTCCATAAAAGAATCTAATATATTCTATGGTGAAGAAACTTCAATGTCAAACATATAAGAATAATGACTCAGGTAGCAACAGTTTTAAGCACTAATATAAAATTACCAACTACTCTATTAGTTAAATTATGAAGAAAACAAAAACTAGGAAATGAATTTTGAATCATGTAACCACTAACAAGAGAAACCCTCCAGTTAAAGAACTGAACCTGTTTCTGAATCACAGCATAAATCAAGGAGAAATAATCATACACAATTGCCCAGATAATCATCACAACTGAACATACTGGCAATTTCCTTTGCCATAGATACTATTTGATGTTCATTGTGAGTTATTCCATCACTGTACTAAACACAGAGCAATAAGTTACTGGACAACTGCTGGTATGATCATTATTAGTGCTACTGCTTGGTATTCTAGTCAAACATCAATATCATTTTTTTTTTTTTCAAATTCTTATTATCTTCCAGTCTAGTTTTTTCTAGGTTCTTTATTATTATTATTATTATTATTATTATTATTATTATTATTATTATTATTATTATTATCATTATTATTATTATTATTATGGTACAACTCACGAAGTTAGGCCCAGAAAAAGAGAGAGACTTCCCTTGCCATTCATCCATGGTCATATCATAGGGCCTCTCCTATGTTGTAGGGGTGTTACGCTAGGTAAGCATCCAGCAACACAACACATTTTACGCATTGTTGTCACCGGCCAGCAATATCGTGTGTTCTATATTCCACATGTGAGCACTTTTAATGGTCCTAAAACATGTAGAACAAGCCCTAACCCAAACCCCCTACCTCACAGCCTCAGCCTACATCACACAAGAAAGTGCAGTCTACGTCCAACGACTGAATGACAACAATGCATAAAATACGTCGTGTGGCTGGACGCTCACTAAGCGTGACAACCCCATAACATAGGACAGGTCCTATGACACGGCCAGGGATGAATGGCAAGGGAAGTCACTCTCTTTCTGGGCCTGACTTTGTGAGTTGTTCTATTATAATTATTCACATCCTCTAGTTACCTCAGCGAAATGCTGTGGAAAGGGGTTGGGTGAGTGTGGCAGCATTCCTAACAAAAACTAGATTACATATTTGTTACTTGTCAGATAGACACCACATTTCTTGAACTTTTAAAGAATGGAATGCAGTAACTGAGGCAGGAAACTAAAAGCAACTAACTGTGGTTAGTAATTTCCAAAAGCTTTGTCTCATTATTCATGAGATTTTACTTTTCTTCTTCTTCGCATTCACTGATTGTAAACTCTAGCAGAAAGTTCTGGTTCTGGACTTTGTTCAAGAACCTGAGTCTTGCGTGCACATCCATTTAACAGATCTGACTTAACTGTATGCAGTTAACTGGTTCCTTGCCTCTCAGGCAGATGCAGACTTTGAAGCCTCCAATTAGTCAACTCTAGTTGGGCAGGCAGGGGGTCTATTCTTGTTTTCCCCACAATGGGGTCCAGGAACCCACACGGGGAATTTTACATTTAAAGCTTTTCCTTTTTAACTATATATTACCACAATAAATATATTTTGAAACTTTAGATTTGCTCTGAAAACTTGACTGATAAGCAAATTCAACAACAGTGGAAAATTCTGTATTCTTCAAACACTAGGGTGTAGGGTACATAATCACAATTTCCCCATACTTGTTTGGTAAGTCAATTTATTTTTGGACATATTTCTCTTATCAAACTGCCATAAAATGTTGGAAAAAAAATGTCAATGCACTACTGAGCAAAATAGATAAAGCACACGATGTGACATACTGTCACTGTTAGTAAATCAATTTTCTAAAGCATCTAAAACCTTTGCAATTAAAAATTTTAATTAAGTTTAAAATAAAAAGTAATTAGTATTTATGTTCTATAGACCCTCACCCACACACACCCGCATGCACGCACGCACACACGCACACACACACACACAAAAGCAGTAACTGAAAATGCTAGAAAGGTGAAAGAAAAACTGCATGAAATGTTAAACCAAAACAGGCTATCATAACCTTATAGAGTTCCGTAATCTTCCCCCAAAGAGGAGACCATAATAAGGCCGCCATGTTGTTTCCTTCATAAGTCTGCTTTTTTCAGGTCTCAAATTTATTATGAAGAAATTAATACAAGTTGATTATTTTGTACTTTGTTATACAAATAAGTGAACATCTTTAAATATATCATTTTTAAATGTTTTATGTTACACGCATGTTTTTCTTGTGCTGGTGGCATGCAAAAGATTGTTACACGCATGCTTTTCTTGTGCTGGTGGCATGCAATAGATTTTTATGCGTAGGCTTTTTTCTGGTGGCACACAGCTGTTTGTTACATGCAGACTTTTTTTTCTGGTAGCACACAAGTGATTGCTGATTACTGATTTAAGAATCAACATCACAGAACACCAGGCATACCCATAAATGCTCCGTCTCCTGCAGCAAATGTCTTAAAGTGTAGATGCTCTTAAATAAATAAGTATTCTATAAAGGAGAGATAAGTGCGATTCTTCGTGGCAGCCACCGAAGTGCACCGGTAGCACATTTAGTTACTGGCAGTGGTCATGTGTTCAAACTTCCAAGAAGATTTTTTAATTTACTTAGGCTTCCAAGTTAAATCCAATTTTTCTTCTTCTTCTTCTTCTTAGCATTCACCAGCTGTAAACTCTGATGGAAAATTGAGGTTGTTCATCCACTTCTGGACTTTCAACTTGTTCCAGAACTTGAGTTGTGCATGGATATCTGTTTTAAAGATCTGGCCTAATTTTATGCAGACTGTTGGTTCCTCACCTCTCAGGCATATGCACTCCGACTGTGAAGGAAACTCCCCTAATTAGTCCCTTTGTATGACATGTTTTTAAGAAAGGAAGTGTGTCTAGTCGTCTAGTCTTCCCCCCATCTCCCCACCTTTTCCACAAAATAAGACCCTGGAACCCAAACAAGAAGACCCAATCTAACAAAAAATTTTCAGGAAAGTAAAGTTAATGGTTGATACTGAACAAAAGACTCATTAAATTTTAATTTTTCTAGAAAACTATTGGAATAGCATCAGATACTTAATGCATCTCAAAATATGAAAATAGCTCCTTTACTTTTATCATCATCTTCTTTATTTGCAAAAAAGCAACCAAACGTCTTTTTAATAATCATTATATCTCAGGTTTTCCCAAACTCACATCATGCTAATGTAGTTTGCCATCGCTTTCCATTTTTTTTTTAAATTGAAGTAGTAGTCCCCATATGGGTCATTGACTGTACTGATCACTGACACTTCTTGTCAGAGACCATAGTCATGATCACTTTAGTGTGGTTTACAGCCCAGAAAACATTAGATTACAACCAGCAACTTTACTCAGCTGCTCTCAGACTTAGTTCACTACCTGTTTTTTTTTATGATTTCACACTACTTTTATTTCTAGGAACATGCCCGGCTCTCTAGCGAAGTTGGTTAAACCTGACTTTCGCCGCGGCCGGGTGACGAACTCCTTGTGTTCCGGGTTCATTCCCGGGGGTAGGCAGAAAAGCCACATTTCTTCCAGATTAACGGTACCTATAATGGAATCAAGGCTGAAGGGTTGCGATATCCATAGTACAGAGCCAAAGGGTTTACAACTCATGGTTTCTGGATACGTTTAAAAAAAAAAAAGTGTTCTAGGAACTAAATGGGTAGGCGATTTTGTCCAGAGGTGTCCGAAGAGTTAGTCCATAGCCAGTCACAATGGGGGAGCCACCGTGATGTAGTGGACTGAAGATTGTGGATTCAGGTCCTGATGGAGCCAGAGTTTTTTTTTTTTCTTAAATTCCCTTAGCTCCCAGGTCAATCAAGCCATAAACAGGTACCAGGTAAAGTCCTAGGAGGTAAAGGCAGCTGGCATGACTTAAACGACATCACCGACCAAGTGCTGATTAGTCTATAAAATACAGGTCTAGCTCTATATGCCCTATATGCCTGAAAGCGCGGGCAAAAGGTCCTTTACTTTACAGTCACAATGCTAAATGTATGGTAGTTGGTTGGTATCTTTCTGTCTTTCCAGGCAACAGTACAGTACTGTTCTATAGGGAAGCAAATCAGAGCCTATGGTAATAATGAGTGAGACTAGCCAGGCCAGCTTGTCTAAGAAAGTCTTCCACAATAAGTGTATGGGATTTTAGGACCAGCCTGACCTTTATATATTGTTTCTTCACAAATACTTGGCTCATAATTTATATGTGGTGATTTTTCTCTTCTGTACTTATTCGCTTACTGATCATTCCCAACCATGCATCACAATTTTTAAAGCATCTTGTGCTGACAGAACAACTTACATGATGAGCCAGATCTATTATTATTATTGTTTCTCTTCACAGCAATGAGATAAATGTGGTCTTCCTACCTGAGAGAATTGTAGACAGGTTCCAGAACTGGTTTCAGGTAGTTGTTCATTGCTACAACGATCTCAGAAAACTCAATTTCTAATCTGGCATCTTCATTTGTGTCTTCAGGGTTTGACTGTATTTTAAAAGACAAAGAGAATATAACAGACTCTTAAAAGCAGCTTTGTTCTTATTGTCAAATAACTGCCTTTAAATATATGCACACTGTGTATATCTGCCTATTTGTATCTTCACTGTATCTTTAAAAAGTCTGTTGGTTGTTCCAAATTAAATTATTACTGCTTCTTGTTTTTATTCAAGATAATCCACTGCTGTTAGTTTTTGCATATAAATGTATTTATGCATTATTTTCACTGTTTTATATTAAATTGTTACCCTTTTCTGCTCACCTAATTATACTTCTATCTGTATTATTTTTATTTTTAGCCATTTACTTTAATGTTATTTGTTTGATAGTTTAAAGGTTCATTGGTAGGTTGGTGGGTTGGTTGGTACATTGACAGATTGGTTTGTTTATGGGTTAGTAGGTGTATTTGTTGCTCTGTTGGCTGGTTGGTTGACAGGTTGGTTTATTAGCTGGTTGGTTGATTGGTAGGTTAATGGATTCGTAGGTAAGTTGATAGGTTGATTCTTTACTTAGCCTTCTTAAATCAAGGCATACATGATAGGTCTTGCTAGGTCTTGCATACATGCAGCACACTGAAAGATGCTCAGCAATTGACACATGGGGGAAAAAGTAAGCTCAGACGACCATATCAGATCTTAATCGATGTCACAATTGTGTTGGTAGTTATTGTGGCTGCATTTGAAGAAAATGACCAAACCCTGATTTTCAGCTTTCAGAATTTTATGCAATGTGTTGTATCTACAAACTGTCTGACAGTATCATTTCTCACCCTGTCTCAGGCTCTAGATTGAGCTGTACACACATGTTGTAATCATAATTGATTCAGAGAGTGTGTAGAGAAAGATAGGGGCAGGCATGCTTCGGGCAAGGGCGCAAGAATCGCTTCAGAGGTCCTGGGTAGAGTTCTTTAAATTTTTTCTCCAGGTCATGCTGGTGTGATGGAAAATGAGCAGAAAGATAAACTGGCCAGTTCTGCACCTCCTGGTGATGAACTGATGTATGGCAAGCCAGATGTTGTGAGGGCCTTTTAGGAGCGAGTGAACAGTGAGGAGGCACAAGTAGATCATTACTTGGTCTGAAGAGAATGGCGCTGTGGGGAGTTACTGGGAAAGGCAAGACGAATGTTCAATCAGTTATTGTAACTTTTCACTTGCTGCTGAAGATAGGGATGGAACATTTGTGGGAGTGTCCCAAGTGCTATGATGACGATTTTCTTATTCAACATTCAACTATGTCTTAGGTAGAAAAGCTGTCAGTAAAATACATTAAAAATTTTATATTGCTCCAAATTCAGTTTCTATATAATACCATTAGTGATAAATCAAATTTTAAGGAGGTATTAAACTTATGAAAATCTCTTCGCAATATGAAATAAACTTCAAATTTTTTCTGCATGCTACAATAAGCAGTCATAACTGTTGCAAATTTGACTTAGCCTGAAATTAACTCTCATAAGTGAACTGTGTAATTAACAGTTATCTTGAATGATTTGGGAGGGGGAGGGGGGAATTTACTATGTTAACTTACCATGGAGAAGGCTTTAAAATCATCATCTACATTCTCTAACAGTTTCTCTCGCTGTGCAGCCTTTGTGCGCTGGTATTCTTTTTTCAACAACATGCTCTGCTGTTTCTGTTTGTATTCACTTAGCCTGGACAAGATCTGCTGCAGTTGGCCGATATCTGTAACTGTCTCAAACACTCGAGCTCTCCCAGCATCTAGTTGATGACAAATTGATGCATTTTAGTAAAAGAATAACCTAAATTAATTATTTTCTTGAAAGAATGAAATAAATCAATGCTTTTCTGTGAAAGAATGAACTAAATTATTGCTTTTCAGTTAATGAATGAACTAATTAATGTTTTTCAGTCTAAGAAAAAAATTAAATTAATGCTTTTAAGTGAAATAATGAAATTAATGCTTTTCGGTGAAAGAAATACCTAAATTAATGATTTTCTGTGAAAGCATTAACTAAATTAATGCTTTTCAGTCAAAGAATTAACCAAATTAATGCTTTTATGTCATATAATGAACTGAATTAATGCTTATCAGTCAAAGAATGAACAAAATTATTGCTTTTCAGTGAAAGACAGAAAAATATTCTTTGAATATAGTGAATCAGTAATAAAACATTAATTCAAGCTATGAAACTAGCAAAGACAGGAGACTACATCAAACTCCCTTCTGTGACATTTTACGGCATAAGCAGTAGAACAAACTGTGATGAAGATTTAGTGAATCAAGATCTAGAGACAGAGTTCGGGAGCTGAATCATGCAAATTCTTTTCAGATGGGTCCACAGTCTGTGCAAGGTCATTAGTTTCTACGGCTTAGGTCAGAGGAAAATTTGTGAAGGTGAGCTGCAGTGTTTGTGCTTTGACTCAAGGTATCTGACGGATGAGGTTAGGAAGCAGACCTTTATCCAGGAATACCTTCTCAGTGACAGAATTGGTATGTTTAAGAAGACTGAGAGGGACTGGGTTCGCGGACATTAATTGGAAGTATCTACAGTCACAGCTGACCAAGATCAGTTATGTTTTTGCGCTATAAATAGGTAGGTGTAACAAGAAATAAGCTTACAGACTTACAGTTATGGCTACTGTGGGAAAACGGATGGCAGAGATACAGAATGCTGTCACAGAAGCAATCAGCAATTAAATTAACCCTTTTAGTCTCAGTCTTATGTTTCATTGTCTCATCATTCTATTAGCAGTAGTTGCTTAAATTAAAATTAGTGTTCGAGTGTGAAGGGGTTCAGATAATAACACTGGAACAAAAGAAACTAACAGTTGGGATAAAATAGGTTAAAGCTACTCCTAGATAGAAACTAATCCAGTGAACTGTGACTTGAAAGCTTACCAAAATGTGGAAGCAGACAACGTGCACAAAACATACAAACTGATGTTTCGGCTGGGGCCTTTCTCCGCATGAATTAAACTACACAACAAACAACAATTTTAAAAGGGAGAGAACTCCAACCACCAGTTCCTGACATGACCCTCTGGTGGTTGGTGTAGTCTCCCCTTTGTTATTGTTGGGCAGTTTAGTGCACTCTGATCTTGAAGTTGTCTTTTACGCCATGCTTGCTAGGGGGCAGTGCATCTATTCTTTTTTTCTCTCAAAACATGGGGCCCTAGAACCCACATGAGGATATACATTGAGGGATAACTTAGGAGGGATCCAAGCACTTTTGCATGTATGGTTCAATGTGAAGAGAGAATGATTCATCACTTTATTATTTAGTCAAAAATAATTTAAAATCTAAAAACATTCACAGTTTCTATAATCAGATCCAATATTCAATATATGACTGAAAAATAACAGGTCATTAAAATTATTTTCTAAATCTGAAATATGAATTTACTGGAAGCAAGAAGCATCAACAGCAATTAAATTGGGAAATAAAGTAGGCAGTTATGAGTAGATAAAAAAAGGGAGTGAGACAACAGTGTGTTTTGTCACTGGATCTCTTCTCTCTCTATAGTGAAATAATAATGAGGAAGGTCAATGAGACCAGGAATACTAGCTGAAAGTTATAATATAAACAATCATCGTTATACAGATGATACACTATTAACAGCTGAAAATGCATAAGACCTAAAACGACTATTAGACATTGTGGTTCCAGAGAGTGCAAAAAAAAAGGAGAGTTTCCTAAAATGTCAAGAAAACAGAAAAAATGGTTATAACAAAGAAGATAACTTCAAAATGTGACACAGAAATAGAAGGGAAAGTGCTTAACCAAGTTAATCACTTCAAGTACTTGAGGACATTCATAACATCAGATGGATGATGTGTGACAGAAATTAAGAGCAGAATTGACCAGGCAAAGGCAGCTTTTCAAAAGATAAAAAGCATTTTTTGTAATAAATCACTCTCATTAAACATCAGAAAATGAGTTCTGAAATGTTACATAGAGCTGGTCTGTTGTATGGCAGTGAAACTTGGAATGTGAGCAAACAAACTGAGAAGAGTTTGGAGGCAGCTGAGATGTGGTTCTTGAGAAGAATGTTGCAAAAAAAAACTTGAATATTATCTTGGACTGCCAGGATAACTAACAATGATTGTCTGAAAATGGCTAATGAAAGTTGGTCATGTGATGAGAAAAGGAGCATTGGAAAATATTGTGAAGACAGGAAAGATCACTGGTAGAAGAGGCAAAGCAGACCTAGAGAAAAGATGGTGGATGGCTTAAGACAGTGTCATGGAGGAATATCATCAGTGGATTTAACCCAGAACACCAAAGGCTGAGATCTGTGAAGATGCATGAATGCCTATGTGAGATAGCAAGGCACTTGATGATGATGATGATAAATTTGACAACTTAGGGTAAATGAATATATTTTCTTTCAGGCACTGCTGGTCTTAACTTATATTATTAAGCAGCTATAAAAAATCAATTATGAACATGTACAATACATCTGAAGTAAGGACAACATCAACAAAGTAAAAAAATAAACTGGCAACATCAAAGCTATAAATAAATGTGTACAAAAAAAATTATATGAATGAACATTCACATTTAGGAACTTCTCTGTAGATATAACAACTTAAATATCTTTCAAGATTCTACTAAAGATCGCTGACACTGAAAGCGGCCATTTTTGTTTGAGTAAACAATTAAATAAAAAGGTAATCAATCAACTGCAATTTACAGATTTCAGCTGCAAAGTGCTGTGGTGTAGTTATATCTCTTTATCTTTGCATGTGTGAGAATTTTTAAGAGAGGTTATGATCTGGGTTTTTTAAATCTAAATCTGACTTAGGCTCCAAGACACCAAGCCCAAAATGGGCACCAGGTAAAGTTTTTGAAAAATTTGGCAGCCACATGAGGTTGACCAAATTAGTTAATGAGTAATCTATACAATTATGAGTCTAACATTATATGGCCAATTCACCCCTGTCTTACAAAGGGTTATTTATTTATTTTTATTTTAACTTTTTAAAACTAGTTTTCAAATGATAATGTTAATCACAGAAACAGCTGAGACAACCAGTGTCATCACAGCTCAAGTGTTGCTATACATGTAATGTATGTGGTCTATTTGTTTTTCATGATGGTAGACAACCTTCAGGCCATGTTGTCAAAAATTTTTGCTAATAACTCCAGTAGTGTAAATTAAAGTTGCTATAAAGTGCTGACAACCTTCATGACAGTGGCCAGATATGTTGTCAAACCTCATGCAGAGGAGAAACAGGCAGGCAGGTCTTGCTAGTCACACTCGTCATCACCCGCTGCTATGAGCTCCTTTTCCCATGCCTTCCCATAGCAGAGTATAACACTATCGTCTGAAAAGATTGCTAAACGATGGAGAAATGCCAACTTGAAGGTCACCAGATAATATATCAGTGAATTTTTAAAAAAATGAGTTTGAAAACATACATAAACATAAAAACCAAATTTAAAATGATAACTACAAAGTAACACATCAACAACTGAAACCTTCAATAAGGTCCTCGGCAGAAGCTTTTAAGATGTTAATTTTGGAAGGTGTTGCTTCTGATGATTTTTCTATCCAGTAAAAATATAACAAAAAACTATTTATGATATTATAATACATCCATAAATGCTTTGAATTAATTCTTAGAGGATACAGACTTGAGACATGACTGTTCATTTTCATCATAATCATCACATGTTCATATTCACATAGGGCTTAATCTATTCCTCAATTAAATTCTATTCTGTGCAGTCTTTTTGATATAATAGATGAAATTCAGTCCAGCACTTTTGATTTCTCTCATCAGTGTTTCTATCTGATGTCCTTGTTTTCTATTCTCTTTGACTGTTCAAATATCTTTACAGTTTAAAAGTGAAAGGAGACTGACTTCGGTGCACTGGCTATTACGCTCAGTCTCTTTCTGCAGTGTGGCTTGTCACCCATCAAGAACACAGCAAAAAACAGGAACTCTGCAACTGCAGTGGACACCCCAAGGGATCTTTGAATCCTCACATTCATTCATCAAATGAATGGGCATGAGGTAAATGGTTTAACCACTTTGCTACCCCCCTCCCCTATCCCTCCCCCAGTGCAAACAATATCTTCAAACTGTGAACTTCAAATACTAGTTTCTCTCCCTCCTCCTCTTCCTTCCCTTTATGACCTAACAGAGCAAAATTCCTCAATCAGTTCTGCCTGTCATCCTATCCTCTGTAATCACATGCAGATCATGCCATGTCCTTTCCAACTTATTCATATCTATCACTAATTCTCCTCTTCATCTTGACCCAGTGCTCAGGGACACACGAACATGGCCAGCAGAATACTGTGACCAGGGAATAGAATAAACACAGGTTCTTGACAGTGAGTGTAAAGATTGAATAAAACTACCTGTAATAGGCGTTTTGGGGACATTAGGATATTATGCGCCTCTTTGAATCGTTCCCTAAAATGGCGGCTTTAATATGATGGCGTTCAAAAAGGAGCTAAATTGGCCAATTTTTAGCCATAAAATATCCAAAAATATCCGAATGCGGGGTCAGTTCTATTAAAAACATATGTGCCGGCTCCGAATAACGAAACAAATGCTCTGACAGGGTCTGGGCGATACGTTGCTTGCCGACCTGCTTCTGCGAGTGTGCATCACCGCCGAGCGTATCCCCCGCGCCGCTACGCGCGGCGCGGATGGGGGCTAAACTAGATGACTGGGACTCATGAGTGGCAGCTACCGCATCTCCTGCAACTTCCTCCAATTACTGTACTCGTGAGTCCCAGGCACCTAGATATGCTCGGCGATGAGTTTAATCGCATTTGGCGCATGCCGACAAGTCTGACATCTACAGCTGCTAAATCCTCCAATCGGAAGAACACAGTATTGCTAATCGTTTTCATCGTCTGTAATGTCTCGAAATTGGTCAACGGTCACTAATATCGTCTGCTAGTATCGGCGTCGCAGAAACGCTCGAAATTTTTTGTCAACGGTCAGTATTTATCGTCTGCTACTAGTACCGTGTGCAATGTTGATAGTGATTGTCAAGTAATCCTAGTTTTGCCGCGATTTGTCCCTTGGCAGACAGTCCGTATTTTAGATATACAGGAACACCGTCGTTTGGATAATTTTGGATATTTTATGGCCAGAATGTGGCATGCCGCCATTTTGGGGAATGGATCAAAGGAGTGCCGGATATTAGTATGGAGATTTGTGTTAAACTTTTGATGGGACACATATTGTATTCTGACAGCTAGTTACATCCTGTGTTAGATGTAAAGTAGTGACAGGTATTGGTAATATAAATTTTTAGTCAGATGGTAGGATATTTCTAGCGTCAGCTGGTGTTCAGTTGTTGTGTTGACTTGTGCCACGGTCCATTTACAAGCTGAACAGTACGTTAACGAGGAGGGTTCTTTTTAGGTATGTGACAAAGTCTAACCATGCACCCCAGTCTGTAGCTAGCAGTTCTGGTATAATTTACCTAAGTGTGACAAAGTCTAACCATGCACCCTAGTCTGTAGCTAGCAGTTCTGGTATAATTTACCTAAGTGTGACAAAGTCTAACCATGCACCCTAGTCGGTAGCTAGCAGTTCTGGTATAATTTACCTAAGTGTGACAAAGTCTAACCATGCACCCTAGTCTGTAGCTAGCAGTTCTGGTATAATTTACCTAAGTGTGACAAAGTCTAACCATGCACCCTAGTCGGTAGCTAGCAGTTCTGGTATAATTTACCTAAGTGTGACAAAGTCTAACCATGCACCCCAGTCGGTAGCTAGCAGTTCTGGTATAATTTACCTAAGTGTGACAAAGTCTAACCTTGCACCCCAGTCTGTAGCTAGCAGTTCTGGTATAATTTACCTAAGTATGACAAAGTCTAACCATGCACCCCAGTCAGTAGCTTGCAGTTCTGGTATAATTTACCTAAGTGTGACAAAGTCTAACCATGCACCCTAGTCGGTAGCTAGCAGTTCTGGTATAATTTACCTAAGTGTGACAAAGTCTAACCTTGCACCCCAGTCTGTAGCTAGCAGTTCTGGTATAATTTACCTAAGTGTGACAAAGTCTAACCATGCACCCCAGTCAGTAGCTTGCAGTTCTGGTATAATTTACCTAAGTGTGACAAAGTCTAACCTTGCACCCTAGTCTGTAGATAGGAGTTCTGGTATAATTTACCTAAGTGTGACAAAGTCTAACCTTGCACCCTAGTCTGTAGCTGGCAGTTCTGGTATAATTTACCTAAGTGTGACAAAGTCTAACCTTGCACCCTAGTCTGTAGCTAGCAGTTCTGGTATAATTTACCTAAGTGTGACAAAGTCTAACCATGCACCCTAGTCTGTAGCTAGCAGTTCTGGTATAATTTACCTAAGTGTGACAAAGTCTAACCATGCACCCTAGTCGGTAGCTAGTAGTTCTGGTATAATTTACCTAAGTGTAAAAAAGAACTTGAATCTGAGGATTGTTGGTTCAGGCCCAGGTAATACCTAAAACAACTAAGAAGACCTTGGAGTGAGTGGTGATTGTAAAGCCCCTCAAGGTCAGTTGTGGTAGGGTCGGGGAACCACCTCTGGAGTAAACTGTCTACGTTCTATGTTAAAGTATATTAAACCTGATATGTATGCTCACGTAGTATTGGGTTAAGTGTGTTGTAGTGATAGACATTTCTGTCAGGAACCTACCAACGAGCCACATGCCTGCATGGCAGTAAACAGAGCTTCTTGACAGTATGTGAGAGGCTGATTATGTGAGAAGTTGATTATTTGAGAGGTTGATTATGTGAGAGGTTGATTATGTGAGAGGTTGATTATGTGAGAGGTTGATTATTTGAGAGGTTGATTATGTGAGAGGTTGATTATGTGAGAGGTTGATTATGTGAGAGGTTGATTATGTGAGAGGCTGATTATGTGAGAGGTTGATTATGATTGATTACGAATAATATATGAATAATTTATTTGAGAGATTGTATATGTGTGAGATCGCATGTTGTTTATTTTATATTCCAATCTCTGGCAACGGATTACATTTCTCTTATACAAACACACAAATACCCATATAGACAAAGGCAAACAGACAAACCTTACTTTTGTCGCCCATTTTTGGCTTAGTAACCATGGCAGTAGTTTTTGCTTTGTCAAGAACAGCTGCATACAGAAGGCTTCTGAAATATGCAAGCAGACGTGATAAAGTTTACAGACACCAAATAACTGAGTGACTGACATTAACTAATTAACTGACTACCCAAGTGATCGATAGGGTGACAGTCAGTTGATTCACTGACTGATTGATTGATTGATGCATTCATTCGTTGGCCAATTTTAACTTTTAATCATTATAAAATTGGCTGATTGGTTGATTGACTGATTGACTGACTGGCCAATCAAGTGAGTCACTAACTGACCAACTGACTGACTGGTTGATTGACTAATTCATTTATTGACTGATTAATAAATTGACTGATTAGTCAACTGATAGATTAACTAACTGACTGAATGTCCGATTGATTTACTGACTGAATGATTGACCAACTGATTGATTAGCAAAAGGACTGATTGCTTGAGCAAGTCACTGACTCACCAGATAGCTGGCTGGTTCATTTACTGAGTGATTGTGTTATCAGCTCATTGCTGTTTGTGCATGATTTGCTACAGATCTATATCAGCTGAAACATAATATAATAGATAAATACATTACAACACATTTGATTACATCATAAAGACAACTGTACAGAATTTGAAAAGAAACAAGTTTGAGCATCAACTTACTTGTCTGGAGAATGCTGCAGGACTATGAGGGTGTAATTGGATGGAACCTCCTTGAGAATGTCCAGGTAGTTTGGTGTTATCTCTAGCCTCTTCCAGGCCTGGTGAATTATGAAGGTAAATAACAGCAAAAAGACATAAATGCTAGGAACTCTTTCTTCACCTCTACCTCTCTCTCTATTTGTCCATCTGTCTCTATCTGTCTGGCTTTCTCTGTCTGACTGTCTACCTGTCTCTCTCACTTTATCTTTGTCTCTCTGTCCATCTCTCAGTCTTTCTCTCACCCCTCTCCCCACCCCCAAACCTCAAAGTACCTAGCAGAATCTCTGACATGCTCCATCTCTTGTCCTAATTGAGCACTATATCAGACTACTCTTTGTCCAGCTCTTGATGTCATCCACCCATCTGTATTGCTGGCTACCTCTTGCTCGCTTGCCTTCATTTTTTCCATCCAGTACAGCTTTTTATAAGAGATGTGCCTTTTACATACTTTGACTATTATCACCCTAATTCTTACCTGCCAATCACTAAACAGAGTAACTGTGATATCCTTATAAAGTGGACTTGTGGTGCGATTGGTCTTTGCATCGTTCTTCAGTAAATGGTGCCTCTGGTGCAACAAAGCTGCTAGCTGAGAGGTCAGGGGGTCAGGCTGAGATTTAAACAGCACCTGCTCCATGGTCAAAGATGACTGGCAGCTCTGCAAATATCAGAAACATTAGTGCATTTTAGATGTGTAAAAGAAATAGTTATCAAAAGCTATTATCTGTTACATAATTCATTTTGCTCCAAGTCACTTAAAATACCTTCAATAAAATATTCTTCATAAGACCTTTTTTCCCTTCAGTATCAAATAGATAGTACTTTAATCCACTGAGTACTTTAACCCACTGTACATTCTTTTATTTTTTTTTTAAACCATGTTTCCATCCGAGTTATTAATTGCACACTTGCAATTACTATTTTGTCTCCCTTTTTCTCTTTATTGTTTGTATTAAACAATAAAGAATATTATATGATAACAACAGCTCCTCACTTAAAGAATTATAAATACAATATAATCTGATCTGCACTCGGAAAAATCCTATAATTTTTAATAATTCCTTAATAATCCCATAAAATCCTTAGTCAAGGTAAAGTCAAAGGGTGTGTATGTTGAATGTCCATGTTGTCAGTAAGTGGTGACTGATGTTATGGATGGTGAAGATGACATTTCTCTCACTCTCATTTAAAGTTTTTTTTTTTTTTAAGTCAAAAGGCTAGTCACTGTACTAAATGTCTCATTAAAATGCATCTGACAAATCTGTCACTGTCATTAAATCTTACTCAGGTGACTGCATTACTCGCATTTTCTTGGAAAACTGGTCCATTCTTAGTTTGCATTCTCTCAGCCCAGCCAGGATGAATACTCAGCATCTAATTTAGTTTTCTATCTGTGTATATATTTTTATTTCAGTTCCCTTCCTACAACAAATTTTTTTTTAGACTTTTGTGTACAGTTTTGTGTCACTAAAGGTTAACTTACTGCAGGACATTTGTGGCATCTGTGTATAGTTTTCCTGTTGTTTGTTTGTCTGTGTATTCCTTTCCTGAGTTTCTTGGTTACTTTTTGCATATATTCCTTTTGTGAGCTAGTTAACTATACTGAACAAAATATGTTCCAATAAAATTTAAATTAAAATCAAAGTAATAACTTCATTACACTGGGTTATGTCATACAGCTCAGTGTCTCTCTATAGAATGGCCAGCAACATGCTAGCCAACTGCCAAGAACATCACACAAAGCACAAACTCTGTAGCCCCAGAGTTGATCCAAAGGGATTTTTAAAACAACTGTACTCATAAACTGAACAACACTGCAGTGAAGTTAATCCGCGATCTTCAATACACAAGGCAAAAAGTTTAACCACACTGTCACAAAGACCCCCAAATTTAAAAAAAAAAAAAAAGAATGAAAACAGGAAATACACTGAAAAATAAATGTAAGTACTGTAAATTTAAAAAGTGATATAATTTGAATCAAACTTGCCTGAAACAGTGACAACATTAGAGATGCAGATGATGGATCATGCTGTCCAATCAATATAAACATCTCAAAAGATGCTTTTGCAGCCAGATCCTAGAATGTATTTTGAGAACAATTTATGACAGTCAAATTACCTAAGAATTGACAATTATTACTATTGATAAATGCCTTAAATATGTATTTTCAATTCTAATGTTATTTCTTTTTCTTCTTCTTGTTTACATTCACCAGCTGTAAACCCGGCAGAAAGCTCTGGTTGTTTGTCCACTTCTCTACTTTAGTCCTTTTCCAGAACTTAAGCATTGTTAATCTGTTTTACAGATCTGGTGGTTTTTTTGTATTCAGACTGTTAAATGCATTTTAAAAAAACCAAAGCCAGAGGAAAAAATAAACGTAAAATGTGATGACTTCAAGAAGAGTGAAGAAATAAGAGAAATGTCAGTGCAACCACTGGTATCAACAGTTATAAGACAGAGAAGATGGTTCTTTACTGGACACACTCTGGGAAGAGATGAACAGAAAATCACCAAATAGGCAGTGAAATGGGAAATAGAGGGATTGTGGAAGCGAGGTCCTTTCACCTGTGATAGTCAAATGCATTTAATTTTTTTTTTCTCTTCATATTTGAGACTTGTCCAGTCAGCTAACCTTAAGATCCCAATTTCTCTTGGCCTCCCTCTTTTCCCCTGTACCAAACTCTGCGACAATAGGACAATGACCCAACAATGACCTGTGTGTGATCAGAGAAGTAACAATAAGACAATGCCTTGTAAAAGATCAGAGAAAACCAATGAATTACTCAATGTTTACTTGTGAATGATTAGACCAGAAACAAAGAAACAATAACATAACAATAACTTTAGAATGACCACAGAAGTAACAATAAGTCAATGACCTGTGAAAGGTCACAAAAGTAGCGATGAGACAATAACCTGGTAATGATATGTGATAGATCAGAGAAATAACAATGACTTCAATACCGCTATTATACTGCATTTTATAGAAGGCCTATGATAAAGTAATACCACAACATAATCTGAGATAGTGGAACATATTTAGCTGCTGAAATATTATACTGACAAATCTAAACCCTTAAAATGACATAAATTCAACAAAAAATAAACACAGTTTCATAGAATCAACACTTAACACTTACTGTGAAATGTTGCTGTAGGGAAATATTTAGGCACTGTGATAAACACTCGCTGGCACACATATAATACAACTGTGATATTTCTTGCTGCTTCTGAAATGAAAATCAACACACACAAAAAGACAAATGCTAGAAAAGGTAAATATGTGTTTAGTTGAGTTAAGAATCAATATCACAGCACTCAGGACATTCCTATAAGTATTCCTTCTCCATCTTCAGCAGCATGCAGAGTATTAACTATGATGGTATGGGTAACCATCAGACTGTATGTCCATCTTGCCTTTTTTCTGTGTGTCAAGTGTTAGATGTAATACACAGTGGAACTTCAGGACACAGATTTAATATGTTCTATTCATCATCATGTAGTATCTCCTTTGCAGAATGTCGCTCTCATCATGGTCTGCCTGAAAGAAACTCGGTCTCTCGCCAGTTCTCCCACCTCATGTACTTTCATACTCAAGGAGTCACTTATATCCTGTGCCCATCTTCGTCTCGGTCGGCCCCTGCCTCTCCTTCCTGGTACCATGCCTTCTGCTATAATTGTTTCCAATCCGTCGTGGCGCTTGATATGACCAAAATATTTCAACTTCTGAGACAGGATGCTGTTTATTAGCCAATCTTCCTTGATGTTCAGATCTTTCAAGATGTCAGTATTTCTCCTCTTCTTTTTCCAAGATATTCTGAGAATCTTTCTATAGCATTTCAGCTCAAAAGCCCCTATTCTATGTTATATAGTGAATAACTCAAACTATTTTTCTTTTTAATATTAATGTAAATAATGCCTCTTTTTACCCATTTCTTATAGTCTTTTGAGTGTTGCAGATTCAAAGTCATCTCCTGAATCATCTTCTCATTCTGCCTCCTTGACAGTATTGAGAATGTCGGCTTGGTCCATTGATTTTCCTGTATCCACCCTGGCCCTGCCAGCAAGCCAATCCGCTCATTCATTATCTCTTACCCCAGAGTGTCCTGGCACAAAAATGGGCCTGTGCTCTCTCAAATGAGCAAATTATTGAAACTTTTTCCCAGAATGCTTTGCTGCACATTCTATAAGCCTGTATCCTGACTATATATAGATGCCATCTGTTTATTTATCTTTGATAGCATTGTGTTCTTTTTCTCTCAATCATCCCTCCAGTATGATGCAGTAGAATGTTTTGTTGTGTAAATTTCTATATCAAAGAGCATCTGATTTTCTACAACAACGCCCTTTTTGTTAAAATAAGTTAATTCTTCTGGAACTTAAGAATGGCACTGGTTTATAAAAGTCTCTGTCACTAGTCACAATTAAACCCAGACTCATCATCATCATCATCATGTAGCAGCAGGTCCTTTGTAGAACGTCGCTCTCATCACGGTCTACCTGAAAGAAACTCGGTCTCTTGCCAGTTCTCCCACCTCATGCACTTTCACACTCAAGGAGTCCCTTATAACCTGTGCCCATCTTCGTGTCAGTTGGCCCCTACCCCTTCTTCCTGGTACCATGCCTTCTGCTATTATTTTTTCCAATCCGTCGTGGCGCTTGATATGACCAAAATATTTCAGTTTTCGAGAAAGGAAAACCCAGACTACTGTATTTTTATAAAAGCATGTTAACAACTGTCACTGTATTTTAATTTCTCCCTTCTAGGTTTGCAGTCATAGGATGAACATCATATGGATGAGAATTAAAAAGGCAAAAATCCTAGAAATCTAGCTCAGGTGTATAAGACAGTTATACTAGGGCACCATATGGATACATTTGTATGATTACCACACTCTATAACCACATCAAGTGGTTATTATCTGACTAGCATTTTTAATGCTTGGAATAATTATTATAGTAGCCTTAGTTTGACTTTCAGAAAACATGTACCAACATTGAGATTCTTTTTCTATTTCTTCTGTCTTTTACTGAAGCACTGACTCTTAGAGGTAATGTCATGTTTTCATTGAAACAGAAACATCAAGGTCTAAAGATGTCCAGTACAAAGTAATTGCAGACAGAGGAAATAAATGTGGTTTTTTTTTTTTTTACAGTAACAATTGTGGCCACTCTAAAAGGCATACATACTGATTTTTTTTTTTCAGTAGTGGGGGGAAAAAGAAAATGTAAGCACGAGAAAGATGGTGATACAAGTGGGAATATAATATAAGATAAACAGCGGCCTTTGACAGTGAAAACAAGAATCAGAAAACAAACAAATGAATCAATGATGGAATGAATGAATAAACTTTTAACATGTTAAAAATTTGGCACATTAGAGGTCTAGTATAATCAACTTTCTAGGAGATCACACATGTTTGACTGGTCAAACAATTTGCAAAACTATCTTTACACAGTAATTCTTTTTTTTTTTCAAGTATGAGAAATAATAATTACCTTTTTCAGAGTTATCTGCTGTGTACAGCTGGCCATTTTTTTCAAAGTTGCTTCATCTACTTCTACTGAGGCTGTTGTTACATCTTTGCCTTCTGCTGCTACTGAGTCATGATGTTGTGCAAAGTTTTCTTCTGCTGCCTCTTCTTCTTCAATCCCTGTTTGCTCTTGGATTTTTTCCATTTCAGCAGCTATTTTTGACAAAGCCTCCTCGTTGGCCAATTGAGTTCTTAGTGCCTCCTGCAAGCATGCAAGAAATAAATGTTTCAACTCATTAACTACTATGAATCACTAAACTTCACGCACTTGGATAATGAATAAACAACAAGCAATAACTAATAATAGCAACAAAGATCCAACTTTAAAACTCCCTAAGCATTAAAAAAAAACATCAGCCCTCATCCTTTAATCAAAAACATCACATCATGGTGTAATTGTCTTAGCCTTTGATTTCTGTTTTTTGTCATTTTATTATCTATGACCTTTTCATGAAGATTATTTGAGTTGAAGAATCTGTATTCTTGTCAACCTTGAAGGGATCAGTCATCATTTTCATCTTCCATGTTTGCAACCAAGTGTTATGGGGAGGGATAATTGGTGTCCCAGTGCTCAATTGGTGGCACTGCCTATTATCATCACCATGTGCCATGTGGTAGGCCGTCATGTTCTGTTTCACTACCGCTACTTTTCTTTGCAAAGATGGTGAAACAGACAACAAGTGTATTAAAGCAAGAAATAAAAAGAAATACCTAATATAATTAAATGGTGCATCTCTGTGTGTAACTGTACATACATATATTTCGGCAGATAGTAAGTACAACTAATAAGTTACTATGGTAATGTATTAACTTCAGTGAGTGGCATGCTGCTATATATGCTCACCTGCAACACTAGTAACTTGTATGATGGAACTGGGTGTGTCAAGAAAAGAGTTTTAACAATAAAACAGCCAAGTTTTGCCATTAGCTTTCCTGCTGTGATTAAAATAATTAATTTACCCCCCCCCCCCCCAAAAAAAAAAGAGTAGGTAAATATTTATAGCTGATGGATTTCTCTACAACAGCTCTCTAACCAGATGATATTTTTCATAATTGTTGAAAACAGAGAAATAACATTCAATACCAAATACAAGACCCATTGAATCATTTCCATTGGTATACTTCAGCTTTAAGACATAAACCATAAGCCAAGACATTATACTTGGATTCAAGCCATACCACTGGCTTTCAAGACATATTCATGTGCAAGACATTCCACTAGGATTCAAGCCATACCACTGGCCTTCAAGACATATCATTCATCTACAAGACATTCCACTAGGATTCAAGCCATACCATTGGCCTTCAAGACATATCATTCATGTGCAAGACCCTCCACTAGAATTCAAGCCATACCACTGGCTTTCAAGACATATCATTCATCTACAAGACATTCCACTAGGATTCAAGCCATACCACGTGTTTTAAAGACATTTCATTCATCTACAAGACATTCCAATAGGATCAAGATATGTCAAAGGTGATCATGACATACTGCTAGGCTTAATGACACATCATAGGCCATAGTAGCATAGTTAATAGTTCACTGGCATATCATTTACTTTGGATCTTTTCTCCAGGCAATGCCCGCGTAGTGGGTAATGAACAGGCAGACAAATTGGCTGGAACTCGAGTGCTGTGATGTCAATTCTTGACTCAACTCAACTGGGGTATCAGGACTTTGCTCCAGGTACAAAGTAAGTATTTCGCATATACATTGTTATTACAAATAATGGCTCTGTTACAGTTTTCTTTAAGACTGCCATGATATGATTATCATCAATATATAGGTCCTTTACAGCAGTATTTCTAAAACCTTTTTCGCCTCGGCACCCTTGTCGGGCAAACAAACTTTCGGCAACACACCTACCCTTAGCGGTTTGAATACTTACACACACACACACACACACACACACACACAAAAGTGCAAATGCAATGTTCATTTGTCTTTAACGCGATGATTGAAACTGTTTGCATGCATTTTTCATTATTTCCTTTATTTTTATGGGAAGTTTAGTTAACTGTAGACTCAGATCGCTTGAAGGTTGCTCATGAATCTGTTTTTAATCCAAGCGTACATTGAGAATGAACTGCAGCCTTGCCAATAGCATTCTTTTCCGATTACAGCTGCATCCAGAACTCTGCTTGGTTTCCTTCATGGTATTTCTGTTTTAAACTGCCGTTTTGGAAAAATTCTTGATTATTGCCGCAACATCCCTGGCATACGCTCACTGCACCCCTGGCATACACTCGCAGCACCCAGTTTGAGAACCACTGCTTTAAAGAATGTCGCTCTCATCACAGCTAGCCTGAAAGTCTCTTCTTCTCTAGTCAATTCTCTAGCCCTATATGTTTTCATAACGCATGCATCTTCAATGTCCTTGACATAATTCAGTCTATCAATTATTCCTAACTATACCCTCAACAGGAAATACTTACAATATCATGAGCCATCCAGTTTGTAGGTGGATCTGGTCCATGACTGTCTGCCACAACCTTCAACAATCGGCCTAGTCCTGCCAGAGACTACAAAATAAAAACATTTTCAGATTAACTTAAACCATCTGAGACAAAGTTAGAAATGAGATTATCAGACAGACTATAGGAACAACACCAGGCAGTAAATTAATTGAGAAACAGTAGATCAAATGGTTTAGTCATTTAGTAAGAATGAGCCAGAACAACTACCAACGCATGCTCTATACATGAAAAGATCTGACACAAAAGCAAGAGGCCGCCTTAGGAGATTATAGACTGATGACATTAAACAGCTTCTACATCGACACGGAATGACAATAGCCATTGCTGCCCATCTGGCAATGGATCACAAATTGTCTCTCCTCACAAGGCTTAACGACAGAAGAGGAAAATGACGATGAAGGCATAAATTTCTGTCTATGTCAATTTTTTTAGAAAAATAACTGCAAAATATAATTTCTTTAATGACAATACAAGAGACAGAAGGCTTTTAACAGACATGATTGTCAACATTACATAACATGGACTGTAAGAAGAAGATTCACTATCTTGTTCTTTTAGTAAAGTAAATGCATTCTCTAAATATTAACTCCTACAAGTGATTTAATTTTTTTATTCACCATGTGTAACTTTAAAGGGCTAAAACAATGCCCCTATATTTATCAAACTTTATTTAGAGTAGCTGCAGCAGTTGTTACTTAACAAATCCAGATACATGTCAGGCACATGTCAATGCATTAAAAAATAAACATTCAAGGCAGCATCATAAAACTATGTCCTCAATACATGCCATGCTAATAAGCCTTTTTTTTAACTTATTTTGTTATTAAGTCAATGTAACAACAAACTGAAAAAGAAATACGGTAACTTTAAGCTCATTTTATCCAATGCAGGTGTTGCTTAAAATTAATAATATTTTTAGTCTAAATATGTTTAAATAATCAAATTGGACAGAAGTGGTTAAGGTAAGATCTTAATAGAGTAATCTAAAATAATAAATGAAATAACTACAAGAGGATAAGAAAACATATCATGCTAGAGATAATCAATAAATTCATGGTACACTCCCTGATCCTGAATGAGTTAATACAAGATTTACCTTGGCTCTCAAATAAGGTTATCCTGTACTCATACTATGAGCAAGTGTAAATGATAACATGGCTTCATCAGCAGCCGCTCTAAAGAAAAAGAGTACATAAATATTTATAGCTGATGCAGATAGGTCTGGATTTCTTCAATACAGCTCAAACCGAATCAAGCCGAAGATGCTTGCTGTGCTATGTATCAGAGAAAAGGACCTGGTGTGCATGGGACTTCTAGATTAATGAAGGTAACTCAACTGTTGTTAGCTCTCTGTCACTCAGAAGTCGTAGCACACTCCCTAGAAGAACCTGTGATAAGAAGGGGATAGCGACAAAGTGAAATGACTACAAGAGGATAAGAAAACATATCATGCTAGAGATAATCAATAATCTCACAGTACACTCCCTGGTACTGAATGAGTTAATGCAAGATTTACCTTGGCTCTCAGATAAGGTTTTCCTGCACTCATGCTATGAGCAAGTGTGAATGATGCCATGGCTTCATCAGCAGCCGTTCTAAAGATAATTAAACCAAAAAAAAATTTATCAAACAGCATACAAGTGGCAATATATTCTGCATTTGCTTGCCGGAGAAAAATCTGGTATGTTTTAAAAGGCTTGGCTACTAAGAATATCTTGTAACTCTGTAGTAATGCACCCGATGAGATACAGCAAAATATTCCTGGCAGTAAATCCTGCAATGTATTGTTTGTGTCCCCATTTTTCAGTAAGAAACAAGCCATTTTTGCTGACAAATATATTTACACAAGTTCAAATAATTCATCACTCTCCTTTACTATAATAACCACAGGCAGCCTTGGTATGCAACAACACAATCACAAGAATCACAGACCAGTTCAGTGCTATTGTTCTGTCTCCATTCATGTGACCAAGCCCACCAGTTATCTATCTCTTTGTCTTCCTCTTGACCTCTATCCATCAAGCTTGCCAGGTGTCAGCAAGTTTTCATGTTTACCACTTATCATAATTTTTAACTTCTCTAATCAGTGGGAAATCCTATGAGTCACAAGGGGTTCCCCGGTGACTCAACAGGGGTTAAGGGACATAGGCCAGTTAAGAATGAATCAGGAGGGAAGTGTGTCAAAAGTAGGCTTGTGATTTTTTTGTGAATGAGTGAGTGATTATAAGAAATTCGTGAACAGGAAGAAAGAATTGGACACGAGAAAGTAGGAATTTGCAGTTGGTGTATGACAGTGAGAGAGAACAGTGCTTTGATTGAAATGTTAAATGTTGAATTAAGAATCGACACCACAGCACTCTGAACGCCGCCATAAGTGCTCCGTCCCCAACTTCAGCAGCAAGCGAAGGGTTCAAATTCCGATGGTACCAGTAACTGTCTGATTGTATAGCCGTCTCGCCTTTCCCCTGAGTGTCGAGCATCAGCCAGTGTCATAGCCCTGTGGGACAGAGTATAGACAATACGACGTGTAACTGCATTTTGGTGTTTGACGGACCAAAAAGTGCACCAGCGCTCAGCCAGTTGATTTGATGATACAGGGAAAACCCGAGATGCTTGAACACTGGTGCAACGTACACGTTTGAACGGAGAGAGGAGAACGGTTAGAATGGACGTGCGAGGATGAAGACATTATACAGACGTGATTGTATTTTTTGTTAGGAATTGACAGATAGGTTGTGTTAACGTTGTCGTCATATGTGTTGGTTAGCTGTTGTTATTCCTCATGTGCTTATAGTGTGCTAAGACCATTGTGTTGGGGTAGTACCATGTTTAGGTAGGTGTTCTTGTCCCTGGGTTATTAGGGGTTATCTGCGTCTTGTGCTGTCGTTGACATTGTCCGCTAATATTTGAACCACTCACCCTGCATGTGCCACTGAGTCTCACATGGCGAAGATCGTAGCCTAGTTAGCGCTGCACTACAGGAGGTGGAATCGTGTT